CAAGATTTTTATTTGGAGAGCAACCTTTAAGGTTTGCCAAAAAAATAAGAGATGTTATTTATTTTATGGCGAAGATAAAGGATTACCAACAGCAGCCTTGCAGCTGGTGTTGGTGCCTTGCCCAGGGAAGGAGGGACTACTCAGGGTCAACTCAGCGGAGTAAAGTAGCTGCAGGTGCCCAAAATAAGAAAGTAAAAGTAGTTAAGGAGAAGTTTGAAGGGAGTTTAATGCACTTTTACCTCATGCAGATTATTTTCCTACTTCTAAATAATTTGTTTGCACTTTCCTGGAGGTTCCTGTGCAGACACACAGAGCTGCAGCAGTGACAAATTGGCATTTCTGTGGGTGAGTGCCCCCAAAACCCCACCTGAATTCTCAGAGTCTGTACACTGAGAGCTCCCTCCTTCCTGAGTGAAGCTCATCCACAGAACAAGAGGCTTTGCTCCATTTTCTGCCATTTCACCACAGTTTGAGCTGAAAGTGGGCCAAATGATGAGCTAATTGGTTTCTTCCTTAATTATGGAATCTGTCATTATCCTCTCAAAATCAGTGTTACTTTTCCATTACTTTTAACTCTGAGGTAGATAATTTCAAATAGCTGCTTCTGTGTTTTTAATTGCAGTTTCTGTCATTGCTCAATTCTGTCTGATTAGTGTCTTCCAAACAGTTTTTCAGAAGCCACATCCCATTCCATGGGTTGGACAGAGCTCCAGTTGGAGCCAGAAAATACCAGGATATTTCAGCTTCCCCCATGTATCTCAGAATATTGTAATATCAGAATTTCAGAACTGCATGAAATAATATTTGGGTATCAGTGATTGACATGAAATTTTGGGTTGGTATTTTTGTTTTTTTTTTAAAAAACCTCTAAGTATTCTTCAATCAGCTTGATGCCCTCAAAAAATCAAGAATTTTCATTCCTTATCAGGTTTATTTATGGAAACATCCACTTGACCAATTCAAATCAAGTCAGTTTTCTGAACCTTTGAAATCTGTTTCAGAAGAATATTGATCACATCATTTACTTTTGGCTATTTTAGAAATCTCATTTAGGTGTGAATTATGGGGCTGGTGGATATACATTAAACAGGTGTAGAGAAGTGATGGTCTAGAACAAAAGGAACAAGAGACACTCAGGATTTGTGCATTTAGTGAGTAAAATAAACTATGAATTGGCCCTTTCAGTCATAGGTCTATTTGCCTTTTTTTTCTTTCCCAAAAAGCTACTTCTTTGCAAACTTCCAGAATTCAGTTACAGTTTTGGATTTCCACAGCTACTGTTGTCTCTTCATTTCTGTTCACAAGAAATAAAATCCTCCTGGTTCCATAAATGGTTGCAGTCTCTCTTAGAGGAAATATATAATATAATTAAAAGCAATATTTTCAAAAGGATGTGCATGAACTTAAAGCCTTGACTCTAGTTAAAAACTACTAACTGTGTAGGGCTTATTTCCTTTAGCAACATTAATTTGGGTTTTTCAAGGCTCAGAGAAATGACCATGGTAGATCTCAAGGGCCATGCTGATTTAATTGTTGAGTTTTGTAAAAAAAAAAAATCAAGTTTAAAGCTGGCAGGTAATTTTATAAACATTTTTTAATTGAGCACTTCAGTGCACAAAAGGCCTAGAACAGTGTGAACATGCTGAGTGTGTTGTGGTTTGTAGATTGCACAGTAAATAATAATCAAATAATGCAAAATAAAGAGAAACCGCCAAGCAAGACGTAGTAAACAAATAAAAATTTGAGTAATAACTGTAATTTCCAATACCTTATCCATGTATGGGCCCCAAATAAGGAAAAAATGCATTGGAAAGCAAAGGCTCAGATCTCAGAGGAAGCCCAGGAGAGACATATTACTTCCATTTATAATAGAAAATCAACTGGAAACTTGTAATTGACAGGAAGGGAGTGAGTTTGGGTCCCTCGAGGTGCCCTCGGATCAGCAACAGGCAAATGGTGTAAACATAATAAATCACACAACAAGTTGGTTTCATACGATTTTTTTTTTTCCCTGGAAAATAAGGATACAGTTTTGTAAGGTACAATAAATATAAAATGAGGTATTGGCTGGAAAGAAACACCCTGCTCCTTTTTTAAGAGAGTCGATGAAAATATATGTTGAATGGGAAATGAGGTTTCCAGGAGTGTTTATTCATAGGCTGCTGAAGGATCCAATTAAACTGGAATACACTTTGTGTGGCTTTCATAATCATAATGACTGATTTCAATGGGTTTACTCTTGACTTAACCCAATATAATAGGAATGAAATGAAGCTGCTTATTTTCCTGCTGTATATCCAGAGCTGTCCATCCCCTTTGACTGTTTTGAACAACATCTTTTTTCTTTTTCTCTTTTTTTTTTTTCTTCAGCATAAAATAATACTTTGAGCAAGGAAACACAAGTAGCTCAATAAATACCAGAGCCAGTGAAGCCTGGCATCACCCACTGCTGTGTCTTATGGATGTCTGAGTTTGATGCAGAGCTGAAAATGTGGGTTTTTTTTTTTCCTTACAGTTCCTGAATTGGTACCTAATTTGGTGTGCAGCCTCTCCCTCAGCCTCGTGATCACTCTCTCCATCCAGCTCTTCTGTAGAAACAGAATTATACTTTATTTTCTAGTCTTTCCCATTTAGAAAGACCATACAGTCCTTACTGTCTAAGACATCCTAGTCCCCTTCAGGCTCCTCAGGTGTACTCTTTTATTTTTTTTTTTTATTTTTTTTTAAATTAGCTTTAATTTTATTTTTTTCTGTTGGAAGTTGGCTGATGGAGGGAGCAGAACAAAACCACAGCCAGACCCATCCAGCTCCCACCTCCCTGCTGCCAGTGCTCACCCAGCCCTCTCAGTTCATCAGCAAACCATTGACACGGTGGGATTTGTACTGCACTTTGGGAGGGAGAAGAGTTACACAGAATATTTTTGTCTGGATGTAGGAATATTCTTTGGCTTATGTCCAAGACCCTGGTGACAAATCTCAAAAGTCTTACTTGAAGTCAAGCTTGATCATAAGGTTTTGCTTCCCACTGCACAAACTCTCCTGTTGTTTCTTATTAGCTTCCCTTTCCCTAAATTATTTACACCTCTGGAGTGAGGTAAGAAGGAATTTTAGTGAAAGCTGTTGTTTCACCTCCTGCAAGTGATGATCTTCAAGGTCTTTGCCAACCTGAACAGTTCTGTGGTTCTGTTTCTGTTCTCAATAAGAAGTATTTCTAACTGTGACAGAAGTTTAACTCCTGAGAAGAGCTCTGAGCCTGTTAATTGTTGGTACACACCACTCCTGCAAAATTATCTTAATGAAAGAAGTTTAAATATTGATAGAAGAAAATTAAATGCAATTATGATGAGCCATTTCATTTGATACCCTTTTTCTGCATTAACCAGTCCATAAATATTTTAATAATTTCATTTATTCAGTGGTTTTTTTTTTTTCATCTGCATAGCCTTATCTTGTGTTAAATTGTCCTGTTGCACAATTGGCTTTAGAATCCTGGCTGCATGGATGGCAGGGTTCAGAAAATGTCAGCTCTCCATTTCATGACTTCATCCCAAATTTATGCACCTTCAAATTAAACCTGTGCAAAAAGGGATGATCTTCATTTTGTAGGGGCAGCACAAATGCTACAGATACTTCAACATGAAGACAGGTCAGTCAAGCTCTAATTGTCCCTAATTAGCACTTCCAGGAGCTGTAATCTTTGTATAAACTTTCAGCTGGGTGGCATGTGGGTGAAAAATTATTTCTTGCCTAGAACACCATTAAAAATTAATTTCCTTTGATACTGTAGGATGTGAATGAGACAAACACGTGGCCTTGCACAGGAAGGGGCTTTGCCAATTAAAATTGGATGCACAGAGCTCAGAGTGTTCAGGAAAAAAACAAATTTAGGGGAGTTTTTGCCAGATCTCTCAGTTTGTTTCTTGAATTCTGCAGGTTTTTTATTTTCCATTCAAATGATCCTAATGAATGGTAGCAAGGGCTACTTTGCCATATCATACAGAGATTTTTTTTAATGGACTGCTTATGGATTTTTGTGTGAAAAAATGGTTTTGCTCTGTGATGAGCCCTGCTGGGAATTTAGGCTTCTTTTGGCATTCCTTTCACGTGGATACTCCTGTCCTGTTTCTACCTGCTAAGTATGAAGCTGAGTTGTGGGGTAACTACTGAACAAATAATCTTTCATTTTAGCAAAGTTTGCTCTCCTTTTTGCTGTATGCTCCTCTTTCCTTGCATGTATTAAGTCTTTTAAAAAAATAGATTAAAAAAAAAAGAGAAATATTTAAAAGAAAACCCTACCCTTGTGTAAAATGCTTGGAATTTCTATCACCTTCTGCTGGGGGAGATAAAGATTCATTGAATAGAATGGGGTTTCTTTCTGGTTTCTGGTACTCTGGCAAATTTATTTTTCTCAGTCATTGGCTCTCTGGTCCTGTTTGTTACATAATAAAGTATATATTATGTATATTATATATAATTATATAATATATATATCATTATGTATATTACGTATATTATATATAGTTATTATGTATATGTATATGTATATTATGTAATATTATATATTATTTTTGTATATTATATATATTATATTATGCTATATTATGTATATTATATATAATTATTATGTATATTAATTATATATAATTATAATAACTATTATGTATAATCATTATATATTATTTTATAATTAAATATATTATATATTATGTATATAGTATGTTATATATTATGTATATACATTACTATTATATTACTGTATATATGTGTATAATATATATTATCTATTTTATTATATTATTTTATATATTTGATTATTATATATTACATTGTATTATATATTATATTACTATATAAATATATAAATATATATTTTATATATAATATATAATATATGTGTATATAATAAAATATTAGAAAATACAGTCATAAACTGATTTTTGAGGGAAAAAAAATGTGAGAAGCATTCTCAAACATCTTTGCTTTTATTTCTTACCAACTAGAATTGTCCTTTGCTTGGATCTTCAACGAGTATCCCTCGTTTGTCCAAGAGGACAGCCGGCGGTTTGTGTCCCAGGAGACGGGGCACCTCTACATAGCCAAGGTGGAGCCGTCGGACGTGGGCAATTACACGTGTGTGGTGACCAGCTCCGTGACCAACAGCCAGGTCCTGGGCTCGCCCACCCCCCTGGTGCTGCGCACGGACGGTAGGGCTGCCCCTCCAGCTGGGAGTGGTGACACGTCTGGGTGTCACTCAGTGGTTTTGTGTCTCACGTCTGTTGTCAGAATGCTGATGGATTGGTACACAAATATCTTCTGTTGCCTGCCCACAGAATGAACCAGGTTGGAAAGGACCTCTGAGATCAGCGAGTCCAGCCTGTGACCCAGCCCCACCCTGTCACCCAGACCGTGGCACTGATGCCACATCCAGTCTGTCCTTAAACACCTCCAGGGCAGTGACTCCCCCACCTCCCTGGGCAGCCCATTCCAGTGTCTGATCACTCTCTCTGCAAAGAATTTCTTGCCAATGTCCAACCTAAACCTCCCCTGGTGCAGCTCAAGGCTGTGCCCTCTTGTCCTACTGCTGGTTCCTGGAGAAGAGCCCAACCCCCCCCGGCTCCCCTCTCCTGTCAGGGAGTTGCAGAGAGTGAGAAGGTCTCCCCTGAACCTCCTCCTCTTCAGGCTGAACAGCCCCAGCTCCCTCAGCCTCTCCTCACAGCACTTGTGCTCCAGACCCTTCCCCAGCCTGGTTGCCCTTCTCTGGACCTGCTCCAGCCCCTCCATGTCCTTCCTGAGCTGAGGGCCCAGAACTGGGCACAGCACTCGAGGGGTGGCCTCACAGTGCCAAGTACAGGGACAGAATCACTCCCTGCTCCTGCTACCACACTATTCCTGCTCCTCTTCCTAAGTCTGACACTGATTTCCCTGGCAGGTCCCTTCATACGTGGAATGTGAGAGGAATAAACTTGGTTTTGAATTTAATGTGATGTAACACCGAGGAAAGAAAAAAGGCTTAAAAAATTTAAAACTACCTTTCTCAATTGTCTCCTGTAGGTGTGATGGGAGAATATGAACCCAAAATAGAAGTTCAGTTTCCTGAGACCCTTCCTGCAGCTAAAGGCTCAACTGTGAGGCTGGAATGCTTTGCACTAGGAAAGTAAGTTTTCAGCTTCACTCATACTGAAAGTTGAAGCACCGTAGGATTCACCTGCACAAGAGATGTGGAGGTCTGGCAGCTGTTTTGGTCATGTTTTCCAAATATCTTATTTGGATCATTGCAGTTACTGCCTTGAAATGAGAGGGTTAAGAGTCGTGGAGTAATTTTTAATTTTGTTTAGAATTAAAATATGTGTGTTGGCAGCACAGGAATTTACATTTCATTTCAAATTAACTTGAATAAGATCAATGTGGGTTTGCAAATGACCTCTCACCTAGGTCTGCCTTCTCTGTGCAGAAGCAAATGGTGTTGAAGTCGGTGAGAATGTTGCCTGAATTTTCCTGTTAAATGTCCTTGATGCTTTCATAATATTGTTCTTCCTTTATAGCCAAGATAAAGTTTAAAATTCATTCCTCCTCTGAATGATACTTCACACACAACTGATATCTTTTCTCTTTCACAGATGATCTGAGAATGCATTTATGGTTCTGTAAATGTATTTACTTACCACTTTGTGGTTTGTTTGCAGACAGCTTTGTCAGGTGCTCATATCAGATTGATAACTCGATCACACACTATTGCTTTGATTCCCTGGCGAGGGAAAGGAAAGTTCCAAAATCAGAGAATAAATAAATGGCTGTTGGAGGATGGGAATTTTAAAAGACTTGCATTGATTCTGCCTCTGTGGAAGTCACTGGTAGATGTCACCCACCCATCTTTGGGGGAGGCCAGTGCTGATTTAAAGGCATTTTTAGAGTTACTGGACATTCACTCAGATATTCATGAAAAATTTGGTCCCACAAATACAACGTATGGAACAGCACAGTGTATGAAATCAGGTGCCACAGTGTCTGACCATCTGTCCTGTGCAGTGTAGTTGCTGCTTTAACACAAGCCTTTAGTCACTTCTGAGTTTAGTTTAGTTTAAGTATCTCATTATGGCAATCAGAGACTTGAAGCAAAGCTGTTTAAAATCCCATTACTCTCTCTTTAGCCCTGTGCCTCAGATTAACTGGAGAAGAACTGATGGTCTGCCCTTTCCAAGCAAAATAAAGCTGAGGAAATCCAATGGCATGATTGAAATCCCTAATTTCCAGCAGGAGGATGCAGGACTATATGAATGTATAACTGAAAACTCAAGGGGAAAAAACATTGCAAGAGGACGCCTCACTTACTATGGTAGGAAACTTTTGTGCTCCCTCTCTCCCACTCTTCTTTAACCATGAAATATAAACTTCTCTGGGCTTTACAGCTTCTGCAGTACCATCAGGCATTTGTGCTTAAAAATCCATGGCATATTAAGTACTCACAGAAAATGAGAACTTCTGCACCAGTTCCTTGCATAAGATTTCTAAGGAATGTCTTAAGGCTCAAAAGGGTTGCCCAGAGTGGTATAGAGGGTGCTTGTGCTTATTTTTCTGTGATGGAAAGACTTTTTTTTTTTAAACATTTCTTGCTGGTCCATTGGTGAAACCTTCAATTTTCAGTCAGCTGGATTAATTTGGGGGATCATTGAGGCCTCACATTTATGGGAAATACAAATTTTATCTTGCTTTATGAAAAGATTACTGATGGATATTCTCCATCCTGTGCTTTCAAAGCAGCCAATTTTATTTTAAAATGAGTAAATAAATGAGAGAATATAATCCAGTATAGGAAATGAAATAATATGAGATTTAATAGCTGGAAAAAAGACAGAGTCTCTTGTGTATTTAAGGCTGTAGAGTGAAATGAGTATCAGCAAAGCACACTGGTGGTGCTGTAAAGAGAGAGTTGATTTACAACAAAGTGGTATTTGACAATTTTTGTTAAAGCCAGATCTCAGCAAATATAATTTTGTTTAGGTAAATGGCAGTTTAAACAGTGTTTCTAACTGTGCTTTGGAATGTTTTTGCTCGTGTAGGAACATTTGAGCAAAGAGATGGTTTTTTTTAGTTGTACAAAAGGCCCAGAGCTGCTCTGCAACTTGGAGCAAGTGTTGTTTGTTTACTGTTTCCGTGTGGGGAGCTGCTGGTAACTGGAACACACAGGGCTGTAGTGGAGATTTTAGTCAGTGAAGATTTTAGTTCAAAGCATAACAGATTTTATAAAGAAGAAGGAAAAGAGATTCCTCCCCCTACCAACTTCCAGATTGTTACACTGAAGGAATGCCCCGTTGCTGGAAATGCCCAAGGTTAGCTTGGACAGGAGACCTGGAGCAACGTGAATTTTCCATATACTAGTTGTAATTAAACAACTTTTACAGAAATGCTATGGATAACATGGAGCAAAAGATCCAAGCTGCTTCATCTGCCAGTGTCATCTGTCATTCCAAACTGGGCTCTGTGCATTTGATTTTATAGAGTGACCTTATTGCTGCCTGAAACTTCCAGTCAGGTTGTGTTTTGTACATCAGTTTGTGTCGCCATTCCTATGCCAGTTTTAAATCAGGGCAGTTGTACAACACATCAGTGTAAACTAGATACAAAATAGAGGACATTTGTTCATTAGTCCTTGTAATTACAACAGTGGGCATTCCTGAGATTTCTGACCTGCTTCCCACATTCTGTTCTGCTCATTAAAAGGACACAGAGTCGAGATCAAGGGTGTTGCTAATCAATAAAAGCAACCGAGTCGCAGTTTCGTGACACGTAAATCAGTGTGAACGTTTTCACTGCAGATCTAGAACAGGATCTGAACCCTGGAATAGAGTTCATATTCCAGTACAAATGTCTGCCCATGTTAGAGTCATCCCTAATATGGATGTTTATCTTAAAAAGAATAATGAGACCTGTAATGGCAGTAATGGCACTCCAACTGTTTCATTTCATTTGTTCTGCTTCATGAAACCCATTGTGCAGAATTAAATAGATTTAAGTAATCTTTCTTGTTTTGTTACTTGCTTTTGTTGTTACAGATAGAATGCCAGCAAGTCTGGATTCAGGATCATTTTAACTCTGTTTGATAATTTGAAGGATTTTAATGTTGTTTGTAGATTAATGATGTTCTATAAATAAAGACAGTTTCTTCTGGTGGATTGCCACTGTGCCTGATACCAAAACCCAAAAATCTGTCTGGTAAAGAAATCTAACCACATCCCACTCAGTCTTCCAATAAAAGATCAACATTTAAGGGAGTTGTTCTAAAAGCAGATGAGGATTTGGGGGAAACTAATGCAATATACTGAAGACATAGAGGAAAAAATGCCCATCTGCTAGAAAGTACCAGTGTTGTCAAAAATGACACAAATCTGCTGCTGGTAGTGGATGGTGACTGCTGTTGGTTTGTAGAAGTTTAAGGTGTGTCTGCTAATCATATATAGAAAAATATAAGCATTACAAATGAACAAATGTCTTTTTATTTCAGTAGTGACAACATCTGTTCTCCTCTCAGCGGGTTTCTGGCTCACTCAAAAAAAGAGTGTAAGAGGAGTTGAGGTTAACGTTTTCCAAGTTGTCATAGTGAAATAGTGTGAAAAATAAGTCTTCAGGGGGGAAATATATTGACAAAAGTTTCGTGCTTGAAAATAGAAGGTTTTCCTTTCTTTGCAGATTTTAAAGATTCTTTATAAATGATAAAGTTAATCCTAAACAAAAGCTTGAAACATTCGTTGCTCTGTTATGAAGCAAAACACTCCTGTTCTCCTGATTGGTTTTATGAACTGAAACTGTGAAAATTTGAAATCTGAAAATCAGGTTTTCCAATGCATAAATTGTTTGGTTAAAAACCCCCCACACTTACGTTTTCTGTGCTGTCCTGCCTCTTTGTCCAATAATGAATTAGAGTCACAAAGCACCTGAATATAGACTCAACTTTAATCATCTCCATAGTCATTTTCTCAAGAATGCTTATTTATAAGTTTGGTTTAGAAATTCTATGCACATCTGTAACTGTCTTCCTGAAAAAATTAAATGGGTCTGGGTTTTTTTGAATATATTGTGGGTTTTAAATATAACTCTCAACCCCTAGTTGATATTGATAATTAAAATAGATACTCTAAAGCAGGTATTCTGGGTTCTTTCCTAACAATAATCACAGACTGTTAATCTTCCTTTTTTTCTCATGAAGGATTTTATCAAGAGAAGCCCAACATCGAGTGTTCATTTTTTTTGTCCCTTTTACAGTTCCAGCATTTAATGGCAGTTTTCTCCTCAGGGGATTTCAGATTGTGCTAAAAATAGGACAAGATTATCTAACTTTGATTGAATATGAAACCTGAATATATAAATAATTTACCTTCACTTTATTAGGGTGTTCATTTGTCATCGTTTTTAGTCCTTTCCATGAGAGATAATGGAAGAAGAAAGAATCCACAGAGACATTTCCATGGCACAGAAAAATGAGAGGCGGTGAAACAATCACATTTCTGTGTTTTAAGATGCAATTAAACATGAAGCACGGTAAAGATATGTAAAGCAGTTAATTTAAAGCATAATTGAAGAAAATATATTCTTAATTAGCACTTGCTGATGTAACAGAAGTCATGGTTGACAGTACCAAGGTAAAATGTTTAACAGGGGCAAAAAAAGCCCTGCTGCTGTTCCCCTTTTTGCTCTGCAGTGCTGGACTGTGATAACAAAGATTAACCCCCTCAGTAGTTTGTAGACTCTGCATCATTTTTTTACTATATCAAAAAGTACTGGTATATTTTGTTAATGATTTTTTAATAATCTCCCAGCAAAATTTTACCGAAACCCCACTGTGTGTGTAGAAGAGCCTGTTTAAAGCTCTTGTCTGATAGTCTGACTCTGTCTTGTGTATGGAGATGTCTGGAAATATTAACTGCAAAGCCATAAATGACTAAATAATATTAATAAGTTGCTGAGTTTGATCAACCTGGAATTTAATTGTTCATGCTATCTAAGAATATAATTGCCTTGCTGCACAGAAAGATAATCACCTTTTCACATCCTACAGCTTTTCCCAATGATGTAGGAATTACCTGTTGCTTGAGAGCGTTTTTATTTTTGAATGGGAGTCAAAAAATGGACATTTTCAGGGATGTGTTGGATGCTTCTCTAGGCCCTGTTTTTTTATCAGAAAAAAAAAAGTCACTCATGCCTCAAGTCACTTGGAGTTCTGAGATAAAATAAGGTTCATCACTGCTGCAGGCATCAGTCTGAGTGTCACAGCCTGACTTCAGACAGACTTCCTGGAAAAGTGAAGGTTACACTTTTTGGATGTGGGGGGTTTTTTTCCCCTGGTATGCTCCATAGCTGCTTTCTCTTGAACTGTGGGAAGTTCCTTTCAGCTCTGATTTATTGCTGAGCTATCCAGAGTGTTTTCAAAGATTTCCAGCCCAGCTTCCAGAGTGTAAATTGCAAAGGAAGGATACGTGTATAAGTATATCATGTAAGCCCCAGTTAGGGATTGTTCTGGAAGAGCTTCCATAGTCCTCTGGCTCCCAGCAGAGGAATGACAGACCTGAGTACTCTCTGGGAGAGAGGCCAGACAAGTGTCATGGGCCGAAGCTCTGCCTTTCCTTTGTGCTGTTCCTGCGGCTTACAGAATGAAAAGAAGGTTTTTATTGAATACCCCTACTCTGAATGAAATCATATCTAAAATTACACGTTTTCATGTGTCATAATCCACAAATAATTTACAAATCCCAGCACAACTGCTGCAAAGTGTCGACTTCTCCAGCCGCTGCTTCCAAGTTCTTCCTCACAGTCACTCGTGGCAGTTGATCTTCATTCACATCAACTCCCAGAACACCACGAAGGGTTTCTGAAACATCTGAAAAGATGCTTCTTCCTTTCCTTGTGGCCTACAGGGATGCTCCAGAGTGTAATGAAGCAACAGTGGTTTTCTTCAGGAAGACGTGCCTGGCCTAACTAGCTGGAAGAAAAGGGTCATCGTAACCTCCAAAAAAAAAAAAAGATGGCAGAGTCTTCTCTCTGGGATAAATTTTATGAACTTACACACTTGTTCGCTTCTCACCTCTGGGGCCATGAGTATTGCAAGGAATATTTTAGGCTAAAACAGCTGAAGCAAAGTACAAGGCTGGTGCTTTTCCAAGTGACTGGCCATGGAGCTGACGGCTTTAGAGAATCACTTACCTACAAGCATTTCACCCTGAGGGAACTTCACATGAATCTTTCATGGCGATTGCACAGCAAGTTCTGAAGAATTCTTAATATTACCACAAAATACGGATTCCTGTCACAGTCTGAAACCCTGAACTACAAACTCCATTAAAATTAACTTCCAACCTCTCAGTTTACAGGTCATCATCTCTTTTTCATCTCAGTGAAGATGTGTTGCCTTCGTGTTGCTCGAGGAGGCAGAAGTGATGCCTTCCTGCCTCCTCAGGAAGATCCGAGTTGGACACCAAACCATGCAGGAGTTCCATGAGACAATGAAGCTGTTCCCAAGTCATCAACGTTCCTTCAGGAGCACAGATTTGGCAGGGGTGGAACCAGATGTTCTGAGCAGTAACATTTGCCTAACAGTGACCAGACCTCAGGAGGAATAAAGCTGTTTTTTCAGAATCATTTAGGTACCGTCAGGCAGAGCTCAACAAAAAGGGCAGTGCTGGCCTTGGCAAATCCTGCCTCTGTTTTGGGAGGGTATTTAGAGCTACTGGTGGGTGACCTTCTGTCTGCACATGTCTCAGCTGCTGCAACATGAACCATCTTTACCTTGGCCACAAATCAGAGTATTCCCAGCTGGAATTGCTCCTGTTTAGCTGCCTTCTGAATTTTGAGCTGGTTGGTCGAATTGTTCTTTTTCAAAGATTTTGAGATGTGGCAGGTTGAAAAGGGTATTTTTCTCTCTGCTGAATTCCTCTATCAGTGATTTGAAGAGAAAAAGAACCTTTCTGAAGGAAATCACTATAAAGTCTCCATCAACACTCTTGTGAACGAACAAGCACCGTGAATTTCTCACATTGTGCCTTAGGGATTCGTTCTGTGCATTTCTGCTTTAACCTGTTGTGTGGAAACTCGGGAAACCCTCCTATGGAGACTGTCTGACACAGAGTCCTAAAACATGATTTATGGTGTAGACAGTGTTTTTCTTATTAATGGAATTGAATCCAAGATCTTGAACTTGAAAATAGACTATATTTAACCTCCTTTCAAGTGGAGATAGGCAGCGGGTGTGAAATATTCCACCTGTATGGATCCATCAGTAATTCAAGCGCTGCTGAACATTGCATAAGTATTTAGGTGTGCAAAGTGCAGGAAGCACAAGACATGGAGTCCTGAGCCTTCATTTCCATGGCACATGGGGGGCAAATACTCCAAATGACAATGTGATATAAAGCAGTGGCTCTTCCTTGAACTCCAGTGTTGTAAAGTGAACTTTCAAGATTAAGCCACAGTTAATACCAGTAAAAAAATACATTTGTGGGACACAAAGCTCAGCTTATCCTGTCTTTTAGAGCTGACCTTGATAGAGAAGGGGCAAAAAGTATATCAGCCCCAAATCGGTGAAGGGTGTTAATCCTCAAAAAAAAGTAGTTATTGAGGGTTTCACAGCAAATATTGGTTGAATTCCAGTATTTATTAGTAGTTAATATCTCAATGAATATATTTCAGTAAATTCTTCTGTAAGAAGTTAATCCTAAGTATGGATACATAAACCATAAATATTATTAAACCTTGTTGCCACAGAAGTATGGAACTGTGCATGGGCACGTTGAGGTGTTATTGCTGCGTTGCAGAGGAGATTTGCATGAATTGCAATGAATCTTTTTATTTACAATGAATCTTTTTAAATGAAATTCATCCCAGCCCTCATCCAGACCTGGGCTGGCTGGTGCTGTGCTTGTGGCAGTGGCACAGGATCAGCTCTCAGCTGTGCTCAGACTTCCCTTGTGGCCACAGGCAAGTCATTAATTTCCCTGGCCTGAGTTAATTGCTGGTGTAACTCCACTGTAGTGGGAAGTTCAATGGGAATTAATCTGACCTTCTGTGCTTCCAAAACTCATGTATTAAATAATATTTTCCTACTTCACCAGGGACTTTTTTTCCCTGCTAGTTGTTTTGATACAAGAGTGTTATGAGATTTTCCTAAATGACTAACTTAAGATAATCAAATTGTCTCTGGAAAATTCTTTGCCTGTAGCTGTGTATTTGCAGCCAAGTTCCATCCTACTCTTTTATCTCTTTTCTCCATATGCAATGTCCAGAATTTATCTTTTCCTGGAGAAATAGCATATATGGAGATTATAAATTTTCTAGTAAATTGAATAAATTCGAAGAAAATTCACAAATTACCTGTAAAACAGTGTTGTGCTGTTGTGTGAAATAGCCCTAAAGGAATAAAAGAATAAACTAATGTTGTCTTCCATGCATTGATGTTCATTTGCCAAGTGAGCTTTCTCCCAGCACCACCCTATGAAAGCCATGACAGATGTTTTAAATATCTTTACAGTTTTAACTATATTTTGGGTAATTCTGAAGGATGTATGTTAATGCATCCAAGTTTTGTTCAAAAAATAGTGATTTTTATGGACTTTCTTTCACTGGTTTGCATCACCCAAATGCTGTGCCAAGACTAATGCTTTCAAAAACAATCTCATATATCCATGGATTCATCCTGTTAAGTGCTGCCTCACATTAGAAAACAATTTAAATGGTATTTAGCACTAAGGCTGACATACCATTATTTTTTTTTTTAGGACTTAGAGGATTCTCTTCAGCATTAATTTGATGATTTAGCCACATCACTTATTTCATTTCAGACTCACCATTAATGTCCTTTTCTTACATTTCCCTCTGTTTCAAAGTTGTGTTGTTTAATCATTAGTGACATTGGTTTCACTACTACACCTTTAGTGATTTGTACTCTCAATTTTCTTTGGTTTACTGCTGTGGTAAAAAAATGTCTAAAAGGAAGAGTAAGTTACTTGTTTCATTAGGGGACTTGAAGCAGGACTAGTAAGAACCTCTGTTGGTACAGACCAGTCTGTGCAGAAAACTGATGAGTTCCCTGTAAATTAACCTTTAGATTCTGGTATGGAACAATAACTTGTTTGGGTCTCTGCTGTGTTTTTCATCTGCAGCAAAGCCTCACTGGATCCAGACCATAAAGGATGTTGAAGCTGCTGTAGAGGACACCTTATATTGGGATTGCAGAGCAAGTGGGAAACCCAAACCATCATACAGGTGGCTGAAGAATGGAGACCAACTGTCAGTAGAGGTAACATTCTCTTTTGAAAACGTGACACTGTGTAAAATTAACATTATTCATACAAATATGAGAATTTTCAGAAGCCTGGGCAATTAGTCAAGAGGAGTATTCGATACTGGTTTTCATATGTTTGTTGAGAGTATCCAGGTGGAAACTTCAAAAGCTGCAATACCAGAAACACAAAGACAAATTATGTTATACAGAAACATCCCAGCTAAAAGCAGATTCAAAAGCAACAATAGAGGCATAGAAAGAAATCTGTAAGGAATGACTGGAGAAGGGAGCTTAATAAAGTTGTACATAAAGAACCATAAATGAAGGATAGAGAATGTAAATGCTTTTACTATAATAGCTGTTGTCATTTCACTGAAGGTAAGAAAACATATTCAAACTTCTTGACAAAAAAAAAAGACAAAAATCCTGAAGATTCATTAGGTTCCCATTCCTTGATGCAAAGAATGTATTTGCTTTAATACAGTTGTTAAAGTAATGGAAAGTAATGCATTTGGTGACAGGGAAAAGAGGTTGAACTTAGAAGGGGAGATACTTGGTCTCCAGGTCTGAAATGCAGATTGATTTTAAATTATTGATTTTAAATCTCACTGCTTCATTGGAAAATGGCCCCGTTCAGGTTATCAGGAATATAAACTACAGGCACCAGCCCATTGCAGGGAGGCATTTTGCCCTTGACCAGTGCCTTGTGCTCAACACTGGCACTAAAGAGTTGAAGAAGAAAGAGTGACTGCTCAGGTGAATTCAGTGGATGCTGTGAAGAACATCTCTCACCATTCGGGGCATTACATGGTCACTGAAAGGAGTGGTGGTGGTTTGGGGACAGGTTAAATGAGGGAGCACAGAATCTCACACAGAGTCTCTGAGGTGAAGTGCTTTTTTACCTCAGTAAGGACAGAAGCATCTTAGAATCATTCAGTCTCCCCTTCTGGGTGTTGGTGTCCAGCCTTTTGGCATCATGTCAGAGCAGAAGCATGACTGCCTCTGGAAATACTGAAGGACTGACTCTCTGAAAGCCAGCAGAAGAGGAGTTCTCTCTGTGTAGTGATCAGGTGTCTTCTGCTCCTTGACCACAAGAATCCTTCATGCTGGGTCTTCTCCACAAAGATCTACTGGGATTGTTCCTCTCAGCTCCCCTTCTCCATAAACATCTTTTTTGAGGAAGAACAAGAACTGTGGCTGGGGTTGCTAGAGAGAGGATCAAGGCATGGAAATAAAGGCTTGTTCCTCTGTGGGTTGTTTTGTCTTTTGTCTGACTGGCTGAACACCTCTCACTCAGCTAGGAGGGGACACTGAGCTGTCCTGGCTGCCCAGAGGTAGCTGGAGTCCCCCTGTGCTGGGCCAACTGCATGTACATGCCCCTAGGAGAAGGCAGGGGGTGATACCATTGAATTGGGCCTGCTAAACCATGTCCAGATCAAAAAAAAAAAAAAAGCTATTAGAAAATATTTTTGGGTGTGTAGTTTGGGTCCTGGTCATTTTTTTTTCCCCCAGAGGTTGTGCTCCTTTGGTTTTGTCATTGTCACTGGCTCCTTTTCTCCCCAGTTCCACCACTCCCTCCTCAAATTAGTCACTTCTTATTGTAATTGATGCAGTTTTCCAAGGATAAGCAAGGTGGGAAGATCCAGATACTTCAGTGGCTTTGCTGGCTTTAAGGCACTTAAGTCCCTGTCTTGTGTTTAATGACTGCTGGAATTTGTTCTGCACAGTATTAGGGGGAGCTCATTAGCAAATGGCATGTGTGAAATCTCTAATAGTACAAAATGCCAGTGCCATCTGTATAGTTTGGATACTCTGGTCTGTCCTGAGGAGGCTGGAGGGATTTTGTCCCTATTTCCAGGGAAATACAAGGGTATTTGCGATTGCAAAGCCTCTGTGAGACCGAGCAAGTAAGAATCATTTTCATACACTGTCTTGCCAAGCCTCCTTATTTGATGACTGTTACCAGATCATGATGCAGTTGTGTCACTTCTTTTAGAACTGTTCTCTTGATTATGCTGTTGCACTTACCCCATGTATTGTACTTATGCTGTCCTATTTATGTTCCTTACTTATTTTAAATTTTTCACAGGAAATATATCATCAGTAAAGATATTTTTCTTAATATTCAGGGAAGGATCCAAATTGAAAATGGTGCACTTACAATATCAAATCTAAATCTGACAGATTCTGGCAGATACCAGTGCATAGCTGAAAATAAACATGGTGTCATCTACTCGAGTGCAGACCTCAGGGTTGTAGGTAAGATTTTCCTTTTTCACTAAAACACAAACCTCATTTTCCGTCTCCGCACCCCCTCCACCTGCCTCGTGTTCCACCTCCTCATGATCTCAAATTTAACTCACTCAGATGCTGTCACCGAAATAAACATTTCTGTCAAGCTGATGTCTTTATCTGCACTTCTGAGGAGTTGACTCATCTGCTTCCAGAGGATTTGCAGGCCGATCATTCATTTCTTTAAAACAGAACGTTCTAAACTGTTCACTGGGGGAGGAGCAGAGCTGGGGGTTTGGACACAGGCCTGGAGATTAAAACCCCTGGCGTGGTGCAGAGGCTCCGCAGTCGGTCAGCAGCTCTCACCTCCTGCTCTGAGGCTCCCAGGCATTTAAAAACCATTGTGTGCAGCCCTTCTTGATCCAGGGGATGAGAAATTGTCATTCAGTCAGTCAGCATGTGCTTGGGTCTAAAACAGTGACAAGTGTTTGTTTGAGGGGAACACAGAACTTGTGACTTCCACACTCACGTGCTTTTGTGATTTGTACCCTGAGCTGATTTTCAAAACCAGGCCTGTCAGAGAGGAGTGTTTTGGGGACACAAGTTATTGCCTTTCTGTTGTTAAGGTTACAGTCCATCAGCAGGTGCTCTCTCAGCCCTGGTCTCCTAAAATACTGAATTTCCTTTTGTTAGCGTAGGTGGAAGCCACGTGCGTTTTTGGTAAATGAAACCTGTCCGCCCTCAGAACGAGCCGTGCTGTCATTTCGTGTCACCTGACACTGCATTCCCAACGGGAAACCTCTCAGTTCCGTGGGGTTTAATGAGGCTCCTGAGCTGGGACAGGTCTGCTCCCCCTGAGCAGGGTGTGCAGCCAGGCAGGGGCTGGAGGCTTGCCGGGGTCACGGGCGGGGTCGGTGTGACCTGCTCTACACACCCCGTTAGGAGAGGCACCTGCACAGCCTGTATGCCTGGATGAGGAGGAGAGATGCCTGATTGTCCAACAGGAGATCCGTTTGAACTAATTAATGGTTTTAATTGTGTTTGGAATCTGAGAGGTATCATTAATAGAATTTAAAGTGCTTTATTTCACTGTTACTCTCCCTTCTGTTTTAGCTTCTGCTCCAGACTTTTCCAAGAATCCGATGAAGAAACTGATCCAGGTTCAAATAGGCAGCACAGTTGACTTTGAATGCAAACCCAAAGCTTCCCCTAAGGCCAAATGTTCCTGGAAGAAGGGAGGTGAGCAGCTACACGAAAATGAAAGGTATCAAGTTACATTGGTTTATTTGTTTTAATCTTACAAGAAGCTTTTTTTATGTCTTTTTATGCTGTGGTGTCATCTGTAGATCCAAAAATTGTAAAGTTTCTGTGAAGTCTGGCTGGCTGGGGAGGGGGTTCTTCAGTTGTTTATTAATTGTCATTGTATCAGAGCACTGAGAGTGCAAGTGTAGTGCTTTCTCTAAGGTCAAGGGATGCTATTTTCAGTTTAACGTAGAGTTTGGCCAGATTTAGAGAGAACCAGGTACTGATAGAAAACTGGAAAGGCAAAGCCTATAGAACACTACTAAAAGCCTTCAGTAAAATGCTCTGAAAATGTTGGCAAGGAGGCAAATGAGGTATGTCACAGCCCTGGTGATAATATGGCTGAGAAAAGAAAGAAAAGTTAATGATTGTGAGGTCGAGAATAGCAGATGAAAACAGGAAAAGAAAATGAAAATGCACTTAGAGGTTCTTTTCAAGCAACTGTGATCTTACCAGTGATAATATCTGTCACCATTGTTTACGTGATAGTGAATGTGTTTTGGGGTTAGTAATTCCCAGTGGAGAGTTTGTGATTCACCCATATCCCCAGCTATTGATTTCCAACAACATGTAAACGTTGCTTCCCAGCAATAACCATTAAAACATTATTGAATTAGTCATGAACTGAAATTGCACAAAGTCTGCTGATTAAATTGTATAATAAGACAACACAGAACTGTTCCTCCCTGCTCTGGAGCAGCCGTTTACTTTGCATCTCTCCCACACTGGGGATTACTGACTTTTCAGGCTTTGTGTTTTACATTTCAGCATTTACACAGACTCAGAGTTTCAGCAGTGAACTGGGACAGCAAAAAAGCTCCTTGGATGGAAGGTGTGATTGAGATGGTTCCACATCTGATTTAGTGTAAATTAGGCAAGTTGGTACTTAGGACGTTTCAGCTGTACTTGAGCGCGTGGAACAGGCTGTGAACGCTCAGAGGAGCACAGTAACTGTTTGGGAGCTCAGGCTGCCCCAGGTCAGCCTTTCTGCAGGTGGTTACTGGGGTATCTGAGTTAAATACACACTGTAGTCACAGCAACAGCCATGGAAAGTCAGTGTTTGCCTGGGAGCAGCGGGGACAGGATGACTGTGAGCATTCCTCTTGGAACACTCTGGTGTCACCCTGTACTTAGCAGGATAATTCATGGACAGGGAGTGTCCAGAAGTCCAGGCAGGAGACTGAGGAAACAGAATACTTTGTTTTTGAAGGAGGATTAACATGGCAGTGTGTTGTGGTTTAAGGAGTGTATCCCTGCTCCTCTAGGAATTTGTGTTGGGTTGTACAAAGCTTAGCCTGTCATCAGGAAGCTAGTTCTAAATTAGGCAAGATTCTCCTAGTCTTTTTCCTGTAAAACACCACGTTGTGGTTTGGTTTTGCAATTTCTAAACACAGAAGTTGCTACCAGATAGATCAAAACTTACAGAGGCTGCAGGGGAGACCTTTCTTGGCTCCATCATAAGGCTGGAGCTCTCTCCTTGTACCCAGTAGCTTTGGGCACTGTCATCTTGACCTGTGCAGCCCTGGCTCTCTGTTCACAGGGATCACAGTAGTTTTCTTGTGCTCTGGTGTTAAATGATGTCAAATGTGGCAGTTTGGCAGAGGATGGGGCATCTGTTGTTGCAGAGCTTGCCACGGTACCACAGCCTCACTCGCTGGCTGCAGGCCTGCAGGAGAGCAAAACCTCCTTCCAAATAGCACTGCTTGGTTTTCTTTTCTATGTGAAACCTCCCATCATCCTTTAATTAAATAATATCATATTAATAAAGAAGTCAATAACACAGAACCACAGTGATCTCTAAAATTTCTGTGATACCTGGCACATTTTGATGATTCTCAGTGGGGTTTATTTTGATGATTGCCTTTGTAAAGCATGTGCAAAAAATGCGTAGCACCTGATTTTCTCCATTTAGGAAAATTCTTCTGTACCACCTCTATAATAAGGCAGGCAGGTGGAATGGTATCCCTCCCACTCCTGTCCCTGTTGTTGGAGCTGCCCATCATCAACCTGTTTAGGTTCAAGTCATGACAAGTCAAAGCTTCCAGGCACTGCTGGACCTTGTAGGACTCCACATATCTCCAGGAGAAGAGTTTCAGCCACATTGTGTCTTTCTTTGAGCTTTCTTTCTGGCTGGGCATCACATCTGGTCTTAGTGCTTGCTTTGGATTGCCCTTCCAAAGCACTGCTCACCAGTTTCACTGGAGTGATGGTACCAGGCTAGAGGCAGCAATGCTGAGTTTCTAAAAATGAACATACACAACGCTGCCCGCTTAGATTTATGAACATAAATTACAGCTTTTAGTTCTGAAAAGTGCAGGTAATTCCAACATATGACCCAGAGTGTCTCCCACTATATTTTTGACAACATACTGTAAATGGCTTCCAGAGGAAGCACAATAACAAGCCAGTAATCCTAAATTAATCTAAATGAAGTCCACTTGCCTTCAGAGAAAAGCAGAAGTGGAATTCTTTGCAGAAAGCACTGGAGTTCATTGCTGTCTGCTGTGAATAATTGCAATTCATAGATTTCTTGCAGTTCTACAATTCCTGCAATTCAGGAAAGGGTTTCCAATTAGCAGTACATTTTTCAGCCATTAACTACATTTCCAGTGGAGAAGTCTGTTGGGGAGGGTTTCTTTTATTTACTTACAGAAAACAGGAGGAATGAGTTCCTAGAAGGGGAATGCTGGTCATGGAGATCCAGCAGGCACTACCCCTGGGAGAGGTGGAGGGGCAGAAGGAGCTTAATTGCATTTGGAGCTCAGCCCTACAGGAGGGTTCAAGCTCACAGAGCTCTCCTTTGGAGACACAGCCAGAAATCAATTGTGAGACAGAGACTGACTCCCATCCCTTATCAAATGTTGTCAGCTATAATGTCAACTATTACCATTTGCTTGTGAAGAGCAAGTGGAGACTTCAAAGAATTTCAAGTTATTTCATCTCCATAAGTCAGCTCCTGCAGGGGCACAGCTCTGGGACTGTGTCCCACGTGGATAAGTACATGTATTGTTTCCCAAATTCATTTACCCTCAAGCAGTTAAATCCATACTCCTGTTGGTTTTGGTGAGTTTGCTGGTGGTGTGTGAAGTTAGTGCTGTCAGAGAATGGGGGCAGTGAAATGTTTTCACCGATGCAGCAGCAGGGATAGAGTTGATATGTTTTAATAAAACTCCTTTTTAAATGATAAAAACAAAGCACAAATACTCCATTAATTCAGTGTATTCTGTCGTCAGAGAACTTAGGTTTTGCTTTGACCACATTACTTTAGTAAAGCCTGAGAGAGTTTCATTTTGATGGCACTGTTGCTCGTATTCTTAATTTATTTTTAAATGGTGCTGCGTTTTCAGTGTGTAAAAGATTTGGATAATGACTCAGTAAATTTTAATTAAATGAGCTGAATATGATATGTCTTGTGGAGGGAAGAAAATATAATTCAAAATGGATTCATGAGCTCCGGGCTGAGAAGTCGCTCAGCGTTGAAGAATGCAATCTTGTTTCTTGTTAATTTTGCAAAGTATGTGATTTTTTTTTTTTTTAATATCTTGAATAAAGAGAGCTAAACAGTAAAGAGCAGTGGAATGCAGAGAGAAGTGAAAGCATAGGGTAACGTGCAGAAGGATGTCAAATTAAGGGAGGAAAGAAATAATTCCTGATAAAAAGTTGCATGATTCTCAGAAGTATCAGTTACTCGGTTTATCTTCCCTACAATTTTGAATTAAGTATTTTTATTTCATTTTGTGTTACAGTTGGAAATGCTGTGATGTGGAAAGTAAAGCATTTACTTACTGGTACTTAAATAAAATTTTTTTCTGCTGACTTTCCTGTTAATTAATCTGGTTTAATTTAGTTGGAATTTGATTGATATATAAAAAGACAGTTCTGACCCACTTTTCCACTGTTCTTTTGTACTGAAGTGTTATGAACTAGAAAGGAGTATGTTCATGTTTATTATCATATCAATGAGGATCTAAAATAGTTGGCTTTTTTCCTGAATAATGTGACAAATGAAAAAGGCAGCAATTCCTTAGTTTGATTATGTCTGTTATTTTAGTAATAAAGCATTGTCTTGGGAAGATGAAGCAATTTGCATTCATTAACAGTTTCATTAATGACAGCGAGTTTCAGTGGCAATAATTTTACCACCATGAGGCTCTCAGGTCAGGAACCCCAAGTCCTGAAGTGGTTGATCCTTGTCCCCATTCTGTTGACCTCGGTCACAGACCGTGGCTGTGAGTCCAGGTTTGTTTAGTTGCTGGGTTTTTATGCCATCCTTTGACTATTGGAAAACAGAAAGACCCTTTGCCAAGATCTATTTCCCACAGTTTTGCTCAAGAGCAAGCGAGAGGGGATGGTTTTGTCAATGATGCTTTGATCCCATGGCCAGACAGGTCCTGAATCCATCTCCTGTTGTGCACGTGGAATGTGCCAGAGCGTTCACTCCACTCCTTCTCTCTGTCCTGCAGGGAGAAAGGTTTGTGCCATCTGCCAGGGCATCAAAAGGGTGCAGGCTGTAGAAATGGAATTCACTTTGAAAACTGCTGGCCTTGAGCAAAATATGTTGGAAAAACACTTGTAGATCCCGGGAATGCCAAAGGATGTGTTCTGGTTTCGTGTCAGGGATCCAGGTCTCTTCCTGGCCACAGGCCAGCCCTTGTAGACTTGTTTTAGTGTGTGATTATCTAGAAATTTTCAGTAAACTGAAAGCTTCGTTTTGTCTTAATGTTTCAGCAGGGGGGTAGAGTTGGTTTTGGATTTAGGGTTTCCAGAGGCTCTACACTGCACTTACTGTTTTGTAATTGAAAAAGTAAAAAGTTTCTCTTTTCTAAATTACCAGCTAAAGATTTTATTTTGACTATCATATCTTTCTCAAATTGATTTTTTGGTGTTGTGTTTGCCTTTTTTTTTTTTTCAACTCTGGGAAAAAACTTGATTCTTAATTATATCTGGGTTTTAATAAGCCTACTGCTTAATTATTTTAGGCAAGCTAGACTTGCAAATAGCTCAGAGCACTCTAAAAGTGATTTGTTTTAATTAAACAATAGACATTCTCAGGTTTATTCCCTGATCCTGCTTTTTCCTTTGTTTGATCTTAGACTTTGTCAACACTTGGGTTTTATTTAGTTGTATTTTTTCTACTGGGAAGTGCTTCAAAGTAGATGAAGCAACACAAGCCTTAGCTAGAAAATGCAACTCACTGGCTTGCTTGCAACCATAATTGATATATTTTAACACCTTTTTTTTTTTTAATGTCATTCTAATTACCTATAAAATGTATTACTCATGTCTTTAACACATTTAAAACACCTATAAACCATATGGTCCAATTTAATTAATTTAAAATGTTCCATCTAACATAAAGTGCAGCCAAATATGACTTGGGAATTTTGCAAAACAAGTTAATAAGCCTCAGGGAGGTCAGTGGATGGAGCCCATCCTCCTTAGGAATGTGCTCCAAATGCCACCACACTGGCTGAGGTACCTCAGGATGCTTTGGAGGATTCAAAGTTCTTTACTTCCAAAGGGAAGAAGATTAAACCATCTATTTATAAGTCCATTTCTCACCCCAGTAAGATGCTTTTGTCTGTCCTTCTAACAGGGTGACTTGTTGTCTCCTGTCATTTGCATCTGCTGATTTGATTATTGTCCCACCTTTGCCCAAAGGAAGTATCTCAGCTGCAGACTTGGATGTTGCAGCTCCGTTTTTTTTAAGGAAATCTAAAATGCAATTTGAAATAATTAAGGAAAAAAAACCCCAAACAATTAAAAGTTGCACTTATTTCTATATTATGATTTCTGAAATTATGTTAGAGCAGTGCAGCTGTGGAAGGATCCAGGTTTCTGCTTTCAGACATTTAAAATACAGTCTCCACATGGCTTTGAGGATTAGGTGAACGTGCTGTTAAAGGAGAGGGGCAGTGTAACCACAGAGCCCTGGTGGGGTGACACCTCTGTGATCTGGGACTGGGAATGTGGTTTTGGGGTCAGACAAGATAAGGGTGAAGGATAAGATCACTGAACCCATCAGACTCCAGTTGTGCTCTGTTGCCCTTATTTACCCACTGAGTTATTCTCTGAAATACAGATTCAGCTGAATTGCTCTTTTTAAAAATACCATTGTAGCTGTGTATTATTTATACTATAAATGACTATAAATAATGAATGATGGTGCAGCTCACTGAAGCTACACCTTTTAGGGGCCAACGTTTATTTTGCCAGCATAATTAAATCCGAGGAGTGTCTTAGCTGTGCCTGCCCTCAGTGCTGAAAGCCTGGACAGGTTTGCCTGGAGCCAAAGCTCTGGTTTCCTCACTGTCCCACGTGTGGAGCTGCACAGGGAGAATTGCTCCCACTGAGCTGTTGGTGTGAATGCCAGGAGAGCCAGGAACCTGTTTGCTCAAGTGAGCATCCTGCTTACAGAATCATAGGAATTGTGGAGCTGGAAAAGACCTCTAAGATCATCAAGTCCAAGTGTCAAACCACCACCTTGTTCACCACTCAGCCATGTCCCCAAGTGCCACATCCCCATGGTTTAAAACTTCCAAGGATGGTGATTTCACCACTTCCCTGGGCTGCCTGTGCCCAGGGCATGTGGGCACAACCCTTTCCATGAAGAAAATTTCCCTAATATCCAATCTAAACCTTCCCTGGCCCAGCTTGAAGCTGTTTCCTCTCATCCTGCCACTTGTTACCTTGGAGAAGAGGCTGACACTCACTTCACTACAGCCCCCTTTGAGGTAGTTGTAGAGGGCTTATCCCATGCTCAGGACAAGTTTCATGAGGAATAGTAGTGATTCCAGTTTCCACTTAACACAGCAGAATTCCCCATCTTTCTGTAATAGGTTTTTAACCAGAGAGAACTGAACTCAGCTGGGAGAAATTATGGAGATCCATTGATACTGTTTTACCTCAAGTGTGTTAAAAATAAAAAGAGCAGCAAGCACGTGTAATTAATTAATTTTGTACTGAATGAAGAAGCAGGTTAATAATGAAGCACATGCAGGCAAAATCCTCACAACTCTTCTGTGCTAAGTTTCATGACATTTGCTGCCTTCTCAGCTGATACTTACACTGAAAACTGTGCAAGACTCCAACTGCTGCAGTGAGAGGTTGGAATGTTGTTGTTTGCTGTTCTGTTGATTTTCTGTAGCTCCATGTGGGTGTTTGGGGCATTTCCAAACCCCATCTTGCTGAGGTGCTTAGGGAGCCAACAGAGTGGTCTCACTGAGGTTCATCTGGTGCCTCTGAAATGGGTTGGTGGGATCTGAGAGAGAAGCTCTGAAGCTCTTGACTTGGATGTATCATGAACCTTTTTTTAATTATTCTGGACATTTTATATGCAGTTTGTTGTACAACTGCTTCACGTTGTCGTCAGGAGACTCGGTAGAAGCCCCTGCAGCTGAGGATATGATAGATGGGAGGACTAGAAATGGGCAAAGAGGGAGGCAAATCATCCTTAGCTGTGCACCACTCCAGTGCTGCTGTCAAGGAAATAATCTCTGCCCTTCTGTCTGTGTATTACTGTGGATCTTCTCTTGTCCACATCTTTTCTGAGCACCTTTCTGCTTGTTGCATTTGTCTGTCCATTGGGCATGGCTCTCACTGGTGGAGGTTGTGGGGGGTGAAGGGAATTTCCTTTCCTGCAAGTCCTTCCACGAAGGAATCTTTTGAAAAATCCTGTTGTGTCATTATGGTAGTGAGAGACAATCATTTCAAAGTTGCTGTTCAAGACTGCATGAGGTAAAAAACTTAACAGTTGAAGGTTATTCTGGTTTCAGTTGGTGCAGCTGAAAAAGATGGAGTTAATGTGGGATTTCTGTCTCTCTCACAGACACACACACACACACACACATCCCCCCTACATACATCTCTAAAACATTGGTTTTGCTCATGTCCAAAACCAGTAATACATGGATGGGTTCAAATTTGTTGTATATTGTCAGTGAATAGTCATAAAGTTTTCAAGCACCAGGTTGTAATTGCCCTGGTTTCAGCTGGAATAGAGTTCATTTTCTTCTGATGCAATTTAATATATCTGATGTAACAACAGAGTATTTTAAAATTTTAAAATCTCTTCATAATTCTTTAGAATCGTGCTGTTAAAGGATGGAGGACTAAGAATAGCCAATGTGACCAAAGTGGATGCTGGAACCTACACGTGCCTGGCAGCAAACCAGTTTGGAACAGCCAGTGGCTCAACAAACTTAATAGTTACTGGTGGGTGAACTGGGATGGAGGGTCTGTGGGAAGGGACTTGGAATTGCAAACTCTGTGACAGGAATCTGAGTTTGCTTATTGACAAATTACTAAATGTCGTGGAATGTAAAGAATATGAGAAGTTTTACATTTAACAATCTGTAAAGGTAAAAGGATATTTGTTACAGCTCTTTTATTGAGAGGAAAGAGACTGAGGGATTTTCTGTCTTTCACAAAGATATTCTCAGATGTGAGGGAGTTCTGAACACTTTCCTCCCTTCTCTCACTTGCCTAAATACTAAACAGTGCAATTATGCTTTTAAGTTCTTGGGCTTTTTTAAGTCTGCTATGGAAAAAAAATATTAATCAAAAAGTGTTTGAGGTAATTTTATATTCCAGTTGAAAATCTGTTTAGCCCAAAGGAAGTCTGTGTGCTGTTTGCTTGTGGAAAAAGATGTGGTAGAAACTCCAGCTTCAGGGGAGCATTCAGGGACTCCACAAGCAAATAAAATTTAAAGTCAAAAGCAAATTGCACACAGAATTGTTAAAAGGGGTCTTGCCCCTTCCTCCAAGTCATCCATTGCTGGCTGAGATAATGTATTAAAAGAACCAGTGGTTTGTGAAGTTTATCTGAAGAATGTGTTTTCTCATAACATTCTTTTTCAAAGATTTGAATATCTGAAAAATTTTCCAAACTCAGGAGCACAGACTGGAAATGTGAAGCTGTTAATTCACTGAACAAAATAATTCTGTTTGGACCTAAGAGATATACAGGATATGTAATGGACTGGGATATCAGATAATTCTAAGTGATTCATGTCCCTTTATATGGAATTAATAGAATTATATACAAAATTCCTAGAATTAAATATTATTTTTACGGTATTTACAGTAGTTGACGTTTTTCTCCAATAATATGAGTCTGGAATAGCAAGCAGCTATTCTTAATGGCACTGTTTACATTTTATATAATGTATGGACCTAAATATCCAATGCAGTCTTCCTTATCTGGATTTGCCCTGGTTTCTGGACTTTATTAACTCCTTTTTTACTCCCACCTCTTCATCTTCCCAGTGGCTGCTGCTGCTGCTTCTTGCTCCGAAACAGGAGTGTTTTGGAGGCACGAAGCTGAGAGACACAAAGCTGAGAGGCACACATGTCTTGAATGGCTGTGTGTGGCAGTGGTTTGGCTTTGTGAAGTGTGTTGGTTTGCACACAGCAGGTTAAAATTCACCTTTCCAGTGTCAGGCAGCTCCCACTCATCAGTGTGCGAGGACACAACGCTCCGACAGCGGCATTTCCAGCCCGGCTGCACTGTCAGTCACCGGGTGGAATAGCAGGAGCAAGCAAAGCTCAGCAGGACAGGAATCCACTAACCAATATTCCTGCTCTCCACAGAGCCAACCAGGATCACCTTGGCACCTTCCAACATGGATGTCACCGTTGGGGAGAGCGTGGTGCTGCCGTGCCAGGTTCAGCACGATCCCATCCTGGACATCACCTTCACCTGGTACTTCAATGGAACCCTCACTGACTTCAAGAGAGATGCTTCCCACTTTGAGAAGGTTGGAGGGGTAAGCTGAGAACACCTTCTCTTCATTTGCCTTACAGGTGTAGACTGACTTATTGTCTTTTTTCAATGTATAAAAATAGGAAGTTCCTTCTCTTGCACGGGCATAATTCCAAATCAAAGCCTTACTTTAATGTCTCTGAGGAAATAAAGCATTAAAAAAATATAGTGGTTTTTTTCACAAAACATGCTCTGTCAGTGCTGAAGAAAAATCCAGGGTGAGTATTGGCTAACTCAGAATTCTGAATCTAGAACATTATACTTGAAAATTTGTCGTAAAGGGCATAGTGTTTTTTATGGAATAGAGACATTTAGGGTGGGCTTTTTTAAAGTTTGTGTTTGTGTAGAGAGGGATTTAAGCTCTTCAGTAGAAGACTTCATAGATATCCAGGAGATCCACAGGAATATTTTATGGGCTTTGTATCACATTTAGGTCCATTATATAGTGGAATAATTTCATCTGGAGTTGCATGCAGGTCGTGGTAAATAAATAAGCCTAAATATGTCCGAGCCTTCCAATAGTTGCAGTGTGTATTTGCTAAATGAAAATATCATTGCAAAAAATAACTTCAGCTTTCTTGGTTGGAAAATAATTTTTCTAATAGATAGACTTCTGTGTAATGATGTCTGGGAGGTCCCTGTCACACCTGCCTGAGGTCTCCAGCATTGTAGTTAGTGGGATGTTACAGGATCACCACCTGGTCTTCCAGATAGTTAGAAAACTATGGGATGCAAGGCTGGCTGACTGCTGGTTTGGGGTTTTTTATGTTAGGTGATTTATACAGAGAGCATGGCAGACCAAGCAGATGCCCAGATTTTGAGCAGTCTTGCCTCTAAACTGGGTATCACTCAGCAATGGCTGGGGCTGTTCTGCAGCTGAGAGAAGCAAAAGCAATTCCAGAAGTTGTTCCTCCTGCATGGAATACTCTTTATTTCTAATATTCCATGTATTAGGGGGAAAGGAAGATGACCTGGGCTAGTCCCCACTGACAAAGGTTTAATCTGAGCAGGGAGGAACGCAGATACCCTGATGGAAATGGGGGGAGCTTTTTCCTGCTGCAAATTTCTATGTTCCCCCTAGTACCTTGAGATTCTTCCCCAAAATATCCACAAATATTTTAAATGCAGCATTAATATTTTGGTGCCTTTCATGTCAAGCAAAACTATTCTGTTTGGCAGCCTCCTTTGTGGAGATGCCTTAAACTGAGTTTGCTAAAATAAGTTTGTGCAGAACGTGATTTGCTTGTATTCATTGCTGATGTTGGGCATTCCCTGAATATCCACTTCAAATCAAGTAGATGGATTTTAGATTGCTTTTAACCCAACTTTTAATTTATTGTAAGCAATCAGCACTGAATTGTCCTGCAAACAACTTCCATCTGTGCTTTCACAGAAGACCAGGCACACACATGGAAGGGAATCAGGCAATTGGTTTCAGCTTCTGTTGAATAAAGAATTGAGACATTGAAATGCTGAAACAAAGAAAAATAACCAAACATTTGGAAAGGTTAAATTTTTTTCCCCTAAGATTAAAATAAACTTAAAAATCATGTCTTTCCCTTTCTCCCAAAGTGCTGTGTGCCCAGGAATCAGTCGTGTGGCCAGAGTAGCTGCAAATACACACAAAGTAGGGCTCTGTCCAGAAAATTTTTTCTCCAGAAAATTTAAATATAAAGCTTTCAGAAATCCAAATCCGTCTAAGAGGTTTTTCACATGGAAAATACCTTGTGAATGAGGTTAAAGCAGTAATTCAGCTGACACAAAGAGGAGATTTTTTTCTAAGGGACACTGCCAGTGGTTTAGTATCAAGTTCTCTGCTCAGTGATGTAGAAAACAAATATTTTACAAGGAGCCCTGAGATGATTTGAAGTTACAGTTACTACTCAAGTTCTGTGTGTGTTTCCTGTGACTCAGGATATCAGCCACATACTATGATAAGAGAGAGAACAACGGGGGAGAAAAACCTAAAGATTAAATATTCAGTGAAGAACAAAGAATAGACAGACCTTAGGCTTGCAAAATGGGAAATTTAGCCCAAGCTTTCAATGAAAGTGTGCTCACAATAACCTGTAGAATGGCCCAAATTCAGCTTTGTCATTTACACGTTCCTTAAAAATCTGTCATAACTTGGCTTATAAATTCTAGCTATAAATTCTATAAAGCCTGTCTAGAAGTCAGATTGGTTCATGACCATAGAAAACTTGTTTTTCCCTTTCTTGGGGCTTTGAGGCAAAAGGTTGGTCTGTCACAGGGCACTGATGTTATTGATGGTTCCTGAGAGCAGGAGGTGTGTTCCCACTCCGAGCTCACCATGGTGTAGCTTAATTATCCCAAAAAGAGGGACATCATCCTATGTTTGGTAGGAAAATGCTCACAGACAACGAGCATGGAGCAGTAACTTGCTGTCCTGGACAGTGTCTGCTACGCACTTCTTGAGCAATTTGACATTTTTCGTTGATTTCCCTTTACAAATACAATCTTAATATTAAACTGCAGAGGTAGTATATTTACATTAACAAGAACTTTGTGTTTCCACAGAGTGCATCAGGGGATTTAATGATTAGAAACATCCAGCTGAAACACAGTGGGAAGTATGTTTGTATGGTGAAGACAGAGGTGGACAGTGTGGCATCTGCAGCCGACCTGATTGTCCGAGGTACCTTCCAGCTTCAGCTCCTATTAATCATATTTTCTTCCTTTTTTTTTTATATTGCAGATTACAGAAACAACTGGTGTTGTAGATTACAAACCCAATCCATGACTTGAATTAGGTGATGAATGACTGTGGCTTGAATTATGTCATTCTGCCTTGCAGTTAGGGAGAATTACAGCTCAATTTTGGGATGGAGCCTAATTTGTTCCCAGAGAAATTAAGAGCTGGAGGTTATAATATTGACTTCACATCTTCTCTCACTGACAGTCCTTCAAGCCACTGACAAGAGGGAACTCACTGGCAGCTGTGAGCCAGTTGTGAGTTGCTGCCTCTGCAAACTGAAGCTTTGGGGACTCCAGAATCCTTCCTGTGAAATGGGCAACTGCTGGCAGAGCCCAGGAGAGGCTTTGTCCTAGGGACATGCTGGAGTCTAAAGCATATAATGGAGGCTTATTCCTTTTCATTCAGAGCTGGAATGTTCACAGTTGAGCCAGAACTGTAGCTTTCTTTGCTGCTGTTACAGCTACATTTATTACAGGGAAAAAGCTTTGATCTAGGAAAGCACATTATGTGATCAGCACTTACTCAGTATATTTTTAGAATATGTCAGATATTTTCCCCTTCTCAGTGTACTGTTAGTCATTTCAACCCCCTTTGCTGGTGCAGATGAGACAAAACCCAGCATTTTTGCCAGGATGCCCAGAATGAGGATTTTCCAGAAGGCAGCAGAAAGCTTGTCTGACTGAATTGCTACTTGGATTGCTGGTCAGATGTTGGGCTGAAAAATTGTTCCAGTGTGCTGTACAGTAAAACAACTGTAGGTAACAAATTGGCAAACTACAGAGATGTATTAGTAGATTAAAGGAGGACATTTAGGACTAAAGGGAAAGACAGAGGGATGGTGCTGAACAAAGGTTCTTGGTAAAAAACCAAACCCCAGTCATCTGTTCTACAGTTGAGAGTATTTCAGGTTGAAACGATCAGAGTTAAGTCTAGTGAATGTAAAACAATAATTACAAGTGTTCCTATTCCAAGCTCAATTGTTTCCTTCCTCCCACGGTGCTGACAGAGTGGGAATCCATACTGCTGGTAGTGACTTCCAGGGCTCTGGCTTCACAAAACACTGCCTGTTTTTTTCATTCTGATTGTAGGCTCACCTGGGCCCCCTGAACACGTGAGAGTGGATGAAATAACTGATACCACAGCTCAGATCTCCTGGCAGGAAGGGACGGATAATCACAGCCCAGTGACCACCTACACCATCCAGGCCAGGACACCCTTCTCAGTGGGATGGCAGAGAGCCACAACAGGTAAACACAGTTCTTGTGACGGTTCTGCTGGAATGTTTTTGACCAGGGACACCATGTCCTTAGTTTCCTTTTTTTTGTTTCTTTCTGTTTAATAGTTCCAGATGTGATCGACGGGAAAACGTTCACAACCACAGTGGTGGATTTAAATCCTTGGGTTGAATATGAATTCCGTGTAGTTGCCACTAACAAAATAGGAGGTGGAGAACCTAGTTTGCCCTCAGAAAAAGTAAGAACTGAAGAGGCAGGTTAGTGGGTTCTTCTCTTTGTTTTTAATTCAAGAATCTTGAATGTTAGCAAAAAAAGGGCATGTTCATATCTTTGGCTCTTTGCAAACAAGCTTGGAATTGCCATTGGATATAAAAGCCTATAACTAGTTTGTCCATTTTTTTTTTCATTTAGCTGTGGGACAATTTGTGTTGCATTACTGAACATCACAGAAGCCTAACATTTAAATCCATTTAAACTGTATTTAGTATGCCAAAAGCTGCCAGTTCAGGCAGTGCTGCAGAGTCTGAAGGTATTAATGGATGGAAAGAGTTTAATTTTGACAGGGATTTTTCATTCATGGTGTTTGATCAGTGTACACTTTCCATGTAACAAGCACAAGGCTCAGAAGAACCCATCAATTAAAACCCCAGTTAACTTGGAATAAGGCCATTGCCCAGTTTATCTGGATAACATCGCTGAAAGTATTCAAGGCCAGGCTGGATGGAGCTCTGTGCAACCTGGTCTAGTGGAAGGTGTCCCTGTCCACAGAAGTGTGGTTGGAACAAGATGATCTTTAAGGTCCCTTCCAACTCAGGCCATTCTGTGATTCTATAAGTTAACCCTATTAAAGAAATGAAGCATGTCTGCAGTTTTTAGAATTCACAAACACAGCAGACATGCTGTAGTCTGTGAGCTCTTTAGGTGCTCAGAGAAACCTCAGGCTGGCCCAGGAATGGGAAGCAGGAGGGTGAATGTGGGACAGGGCTGGGGCTTTCCAGGACTGCCCATCCTGTCCCGAAAGCATTTACCCTGATTGCACGAGGAATATGAATACAACTGGGTTAAATTGCATGAGGTTAATGTGATCTGGTCTCTTGTCTCTACACTGTGCAGACAGCTCTATGTTTCCTTTCCACAGTTCCCGAAATTCCCCCCTCTGAGGTCAGTGGGGGAGGAGGCAGCAGGTCTGAGCTGGTCATAACGTGGGATGTAAGTTTGCTGGCAAGCAGTTTTCTTCAGAGAGTGATTGTTCCCATTCAAACTCTTCAGAGCTGAATTTCCCTGGCTGCAGCAGCTTCTCCTCTGGGATGTGTCTGTGCTTGGTGCCGTGTGTGATGTGAGCTCTGCACGTTTGCCTTCCCTCCCTCGCTGCCACGTGTCGCTGTGCTGGGTGGCAATGCCTGGGAAATTTAGTTAGTTTGGCTGGGGTTGCTTCTGTTCTCAAACAAATGTTAATGCTAAAAAGGGCCAGGAGGACAGGGCAAGAGGAGGGGGGGGAAGGTTAAGCCAAAGAATTATGCTTTACAGTGCAAATTTGCAGTTCTTGCTTTCCTACCATTAACTCTGGATGCATGTGCTAACCAACACACTCACCTACTGGTTTATATCATATATCCCCTTCTTAAAGATTTAAAAAAATGTTAATATTCTGTTACTAACAGTGCTTACTCTGTGTGGTTATCTAATCATACATGAGAGGAAGCTTTAAGCTACTGTCCTCAGATAGTATTGGATTGTGCAATAGCTGACTGAGCAATTATTCATTTTTTATGAACTGTGGATTGATGAAAAAAAATTTATTTACTGGAGAGTGTCTTAAAGCAGAATACTTAGTGGAAGACAAAGATTATACCTGAAAATTATTCTCTTCTTGAAGTGCAAATCTTAAAATAGGTTCAGGGGAACACATTTTGCTCTGCTGTACCAGAGTTAATTGGCTGACGGAACGATGCCAAAGGCAGTGCCAGAACCTGGTTGCAGTCATGTACATAAGTCTGTTGGCACTTGATTCCTGCAAAACATACCCAGTGCTGTGTGTGGCATCACAGATTTCTGTCTGTTGCTTTTCTCACAGCCCATCCCTGAGGAATTACAGAACGGAGAAGGCTTTGGCTACGTCGTTGCTTTCCGCCCCTCTGGCACCACAACGTGGATACAGACTGTGGTCACCTCCCCTGACACCCCAAAATACGTGTTCAGGAATGAAAGCATCTTGCCCTTTTCACCCTATGAAGTCAAAGTTGGTGTCTATAACAATAAAGGAGAAGGGCCCTTCAGTTCAGTCACCACGGTTTTTTCAGCTGAAGAAGGTACAGGATTGAGTTGCTTCCAGATATTTACTGTGAGCTGTTCCATCAGAGAACAGCAGCAGTTCATAGAAATGATATCTTCTGTTCACATGTTTATTTGCACAGTCCCCAGTTCTGTTTGTCACCTCTCCTTCCTTGGTTTCCCAATGCAGAGCCCAGCACAGCCCCCTCTGGAGTGTCTGCCACCAGCCTGTCCTCCTCGGCCATCGAGGTCTCCTGGGCACCCATTCCCTGGAAGATGAGCAATGGGAGGTTATTGGGCTATGAGGTGAGTTTATTTAACTAAAAATATTCAAATAACCCCCCCCCAGCTGATTTAAATAAAATACACTCCCCTTTGCAAATGGCCATGGGCCAGAAGGGTCGTGCAGGCTGTGGGACAGCCACACAGATTTACAAAGGATTGCCCCAAATCTTACTCTTCCTGCCCCACCCACCCCCAGAGGAAGGATAATTTCTTCTACTATTGCAAAAAAGATCACAGACTGAAATTGTGTTTTTCTTCCTGTGCTGATAGATAGTCATGTGTCTAACATGTCTTCAAACTGACATATTTTTTCAGAATTACATTTACTTTCAGAGAAACTTTTTCATAGGGTACATTTTCCTGAGTTTAACTTGTTTTCTCTTTAATGAAGTAATGGTTTTCCTCTTGTCATTCTTTAATTCAAGCAAGATCTAATATTTCAATTTTCTTTTTCCTACAGTCACACTAAAAAGAGCAGCAGGCGTGAGAAGCAGATGGATAAGAATATTTTATTTTTGCACAGTAAACACATTTCTGAAACTTTAATGTATTTCTACCTTTTTCAGCTGAGGGGAGAAAAAAAAAACCTGCACTTAAAAGAGTCAAGTGCATTGCTGTGGGTGAACCAGTCCATTCCATGCAAGATTTAAATGGTTTTGCTTTTATATCTCCTAGGTTAGGTACTGGAATAATGGTCAGAAAGAAGAATCTTCAAACAGAGTAAAAGCTGCAGGGAATGAAACATCAATAAGAATCACGGGTTTGAGGAGCAACTTGGCTTATTACTCAGCTGTCCGTGCCTACAACAGTGCTGGGGCTGGGCCCTTCAGTGCCACTGTGAATGCCACCACTAAAAAGCCACGTGAGTATCTGGAATTCAAAGTGGGGAGAGACTTAATGGTGTGCAGGAAAAACAGTGGCACTACTGGGAATCACACAGTATGAGTCAGTGACTTGAATTTTCGTGCAGTCCAGGGCAGGGGTTGGTTCTAAGCACAATTAAATCAAGCTCGGAGCTTCCTCCCTCCGTGGCTCCAGCAGGACGAGTAGAACTCAGCTATGCCAGTGGAACCCAAGAAAGATGTGTAATTTCTGCACAGAACCTTTATTATGCTTCTAATGACTGGAAGAAATTGAAAAGAAAAATCTCTGTTCTTTAGAAGGGGAAAAAAAAGAGACTTGTTGAATTTTTCAGCGTTCTATAACATATTTATAAGTTCTCTAGGGCATGGCTTTTGAAATGCAATGATCCTCATACAGTTCATGCAAAACAATCCTTCATGTCCACTGTTTCCCCTTGAACAAATTGCACAAGAGGCCACTTTGCTGTTACAAAGGAGAAATTAAGCTGGAGAACAGATTGTCAAAGGCTGCACTAATTTTTCTACAGTGAAAATATTTTTAGTGGGCTCCTCCACTGTAACACAACCCCGAGTCAGGGTCATCACTCTTGAAGGATTTCTGTCAGAGGCACGAGAACATACAATTAAATATATCTGAGAGGTCAAACTCCCTGGAATAGTCATTAACATCCTTCTACCAGAAATAGTTGTGTCATTAATATTATGAAATAAGCTAATTTATCAGAAATTATTTTAGGCAAAAACGAGTGTCAGGCTGTCACTGAGGACTAAACCAACTCAGATTTGCCAGAGTTTAGATATATTATATGCAGAGTTAACATGCATTGCTGATCTGAAGTAACTCACTGCCTGTAGCCTGGACAGGACATGTGATAAGTAATTTTTTCTCTAATTAATCAACTTTGTGGCTGGTGCCAGCCTGGTCAGCTCAGGGATTTTCAGTCCTTTTTTAGTGGCAACCTGCCTTTGGGATGTGTGAGAACTGGACACTGGTTTGAACAGATCTGGATCAGGCCGTTGGTCAAGATTGCTGCTATTTGGAATAATTAAAAAGGAAAAATTAATTGCATGTGACTAAAGAGAGCAAAACCATTGCACTACAGTGTAATGTCACTCTGAAGGATCTTGCTAACTACCAGTTGAATTGACTAAGACAAATAATTCTCTCTGCTGCTACAGCAGAAGCTGATTTTTCATTCAAAGGTGTGATTTTTAATCAATCCCAATTTCTACTTTAACTTGAATATTCGTGATTGATGTGTTTTTCGCCATGAAGGATTTACATTCCCCCACAGGGCCTACAAGGTACCTCTGAGTAACTCCAGCCATATCAAGAAATACAAATACTTCAGTTCAACTGGCAGTATATTTCAAGATTGAAAATTGAGTCCTTGACAAATAAAGTATCTTTGCTTTTATGTTTGAAATATTCCTGTTTGCAAGCCCAAAATAACAGGTGGAGGTTTTTTATAAAATATGCTATATAAAATGGCAAGTGACTGGGGAAGACTTGCCTAAGTTTATAAGACAAGGTGTCACAATTATTTCATATTTAGAAAGTCTTAAAATACAACCAAATGTGTTCTGTCAGTCAATTCTAATTCAGAGAAATATTCATGTTCATGACCAGCTTTAAGCATCTGAAGAGTCTCAGAAATCCATGCAGCTATTTGCATCCTTAGCCCTGGACATGTACTTCCATGACATGATGGATCAGGATCTGACCTGGTACAGATGAAGCTCTGCAGTTCTGAACACTGGAGATTACTGGAGATTTTGGTGTCTGAAGCAAATTGGAGCCTTCTGAATCCCTTCCATAAGCCAAGTGATAGATAGAGGCTTACAGTTTTTATATATAATTATTCTTCCTTTTCACATGTCATCTTAATATTTTGTTGTGGATTTCAAGAATGACTCATTTCTTTTGAAATTCAGCTTTAATATCCCAGTGTGAAAACTACTCATATATGCTGTAACACTTCATTCTCAGGAGTGAAACAATCTCCTTTTACATTTCCAAAATGTGGTTATTATTAGTACATCAGGTTAAATCTTACTTGGTGCATAGAACAAGGCAAATGCTGCAAAAAATACCTGTGAGTGGTTGTTTGACTTCAGAATAATTTCTTTAAGTCTCGCTCGTGCATTTTTGTGTCTATTTTTGAAGTATAATCAGATGAGTTTTGATCTGACTGCTCATGGAAAGAAGGTAGGGAGTTACCTGTGGGAAGGAATTGAAGTGAGGAGAAGAAAAGAGGGAAAAAAAAAAATAAGCACATGGATACAAGTGTTCAAAACCACTGTTAGTGCTTGGTACTTGAACCTCCAGCATCAAAGCACAGCCCAGTCCACCTAAGCAGCAGTTGCCTCCACTAGGTGACAGCAGCAGTAAATTGTTTTCCTTGACACATTTAGAAAAGATTTTAATCATTGATTGTGTCACCCCGTGGCCCATTTTCTGGGAGACCAACCTGAGGTATCGTAAGAGGTTTGTTCTTCCTTTGCCTGCCCTGAGAGCTTGGCAGTTCCAAGATATATGAAAGCACAGCCCAAAGGATGCAGCTTCTTTGGAAATAACAGGCTCAGGTTGCTAATGAACAAAAAGTCAGTAGATTGCCTTGGCCAAAGCCCACTGTTGTTCAGCTCAGACATGAGCAGGGGCTGCAGGTCAGAATCTTGAGTTAAGAGAACAAAAAAAAATATCCCTGTGAAGTATTTCTACAGTACAAACATTAAAGTGAATCAAAGTAGTGTGTAGATTTGAATAGTCAGTAAGACTAAATTTATCTAACAATATCTTGTGAAGAATTTTCTTGTTCTTGGCACTGCACTAAAACTGTAAATTTTCTGTTACCACCATTGTTTTCCCCAGCTTGTTCTAATTGATCACCCACGTCCTAAGACACATGCTTCTATCTGGCTGCATTTAATGAAGGACAATCAACAGATAATTCAGCTTCAGAAATAACATTTATGTGGCATTCCGTTTTTTCCTTCCTTCTATTTTTCCAATTTAGCCTCTGAACCATAACGTGTACAAACGAGGAACCTGCATTTGAGTTGCTTTTGCATCCAAAATGTAACGACAGTCAATTGCCTGAACTATTTCCTACTGTTGAATAAATCACTAATGCCAATTAAATTAAAGCCATACTTTTATTATGTATTTGAAGCACCCAGTCAACCTCCAGGAAACGTCGTGTGGAATGTCACTGACTCCAGAGTTATCCTGAGCTGGGAGGAGGTGACAGCTCTGGGGAACGAGTCCGAGGTGACTGGGTATAAGGTCAGTGAAAACAGAGCTGAAAGCAATCCAAAGTTGGCTTTTTCTTGCCTATTTGCATGTTCAGAGGATGCACAATGTCACAGCCTTCTTACAGATTTTAATCACATTCTAACAATGTCTCATAACCACAGTCCTTTTTACCACTAATTAATTACCATTAATGTACACTAATGCCTTCTCCTCGTGCCTTCTCTTGGGATCCCACTTACCACACGTGTAACACTTGGATCTTAGAACCTGCAGAACACTTATCACATCTATAAAACTTATTAAAAATATGTAACACCTAAATATATAACACTTCAGAAGAAACTATATAATCCAAGATTTAGCCTGGTGGACACAGCTTCCCTTCCTGGCCAGGTCTATGTATAGTACCACACATATCAAACTGATATTTTTCTTACCCTTTTTCTTACCTACTGTGGGACTTGCTCATTTTCCTGATAGAAATTACATCTGCTCTAAATCTGATCAGCACACAAATGTACAAGTATTTAAATATGTCATATAAGTGTAAAAGAATAGCTGAGGATGTTCTTGATAAGCTCTGTGTAGCTGGATCCCACATGATATATTCCCACTTAAAAGATTTAGGCTGAAGATCTGAGTTGTATTGGCAAGAAATTCATGTTTACAGCTTGTTCCAGTGTCCCACCACCAATTATATTATTACCTATAATAACAATTGCAATCAAAACCATATATAATACGTGTTATCATTCTACAGTGTGCCATTTCTAATTAAACCTGTTGATTGATGTTAAAATGTAATTCCGCACGAGAACATTAACCCAAAAAAAAAAAAAAAAAAAAAATCAGATCTTTTCACCCCGAAAAAGAAACCTGGATTCTGAGAAGCCCAGCTCAAAAGTGGCAGGGCAGGTCCTAGAGGAGGATGTTGCCTGTGTTGCAGGTTTTGTACAGGACCAGCAGCCAGAGCAGTGTGAAGGTGCTGAGCACGGAGCAGACGACGGCCGAGCTGTGGCTCCAGTCCAACGACGATTATATCATCGAGGTGAAGGCCACCACCGAGGGGGGGGATGGCACCAGCAGCGAGCAGATCCTCATTCCCAGGCTAGCCAGTAGGTTCAAGCTGCTTCCCCCTTCAACTTTGTCTTTTCAGGAACAAAAAAAAAAACAAAAGAAAAAAAAAAGGAATTAATACTTATACGTTGGGTGGTAATAAGGTCATTAAAAAAAAAGCAATTAACAGTCTTCACGCCCTTATGCTTGACAAATTCCATCCTGCTGAACTGGTAAATTACCATGTAAATTGGTATTAAAAATGTTAACTTTTTTGCTTTTTCTCCTTTTTTTTTTTTTTTTTTTAAATTATTACCTTGAAAGTAGAGTCATAGAAACACAGAATCATTAAGGTTGGAAAAGACCTCCAAGGTCACCGAGCCCAACCTCTGACCAAATACCACTTTTTGTCAGCTAAACCAGACCACTGAAACCATTCATACAATTTCAGCATTTTGCAAGGGGTTTCTGTAGTTTAAAAATATTTACTGTGGTTTTGTAAATTTCTACTGTTTGTAAGAAGTAAAAAAAAAAAAAAAAACAAAACCAATAATTTTTTGCTTAGCATGTGGGAAGGGTAATAGTTTGGCACAGCACACAGTCATGCTTTCATTTAATCCTGACCTTTTCCATTTTTCACAGGTATGGATGCAAGAGGTTCTGGTCCATCAGTCTTGAATATCTTCAGTGTGTCCAGCTTCTTAGCAACAGTATTTTCCTTGACCCTTAATTCAGTGTTGTAATGATATATTTGCATTTGCTGCAAGAAAAAAAAAAAGAATTGGTTACTAAAGTGCTTTTTTAAAAAAAAAAACTGCAGTGGTTAATGCATGTTTTTCTTCTATCCTGACGTGTTTTTAAATTCTTTATATTTCACTGTAAGTTGAAGTAAAAATACCATGTAAAGTTTAGCAAATCCTTTAAAAAGGAATCTGAAATGCCTTAATACTTGAACCAAAGGAGTTTACATATTACATACTTCAGATACAGTGTAAGAGAGAGGGAGAGCAATGGCACTATGGTCAGAGGAAGAGCTTAGCTCAGTGAGAAACTCCATTTTTGCAGCGACACCAAACTGTTCTGGGGATGTTCTGCATTGTTACAATACTGTTCTACAGAGAAAAGATGGAATCAGAGACATGGGTGTTGTTAATCGGGTGATAACACACGGACCAAGTGGCTGTTCTTCAGACAGTGTCACAACCCAGGAGGTTTGGATCAGTTTTCCTAGTGTCCTTTGTGTCAGTTATTCTAAATCTAGCGAGAAATCCCAGGTGGAAGGGAGGGAAAAGTCTCAATATGAGTGTTAGTTTTGCACGGTCCACGCTGGGGTGTCCAAGAGGGGCCTCCAGTGCTGCTCCTAAGAAATGATCTCACAGCTGTGTTTCAAAGAGGCCTCTCTTTTTTATCACAGATGTTTATGCACCTTTTCAAACACCTGCCCTTCCTCTCCATCCGTAATTTTTGAAGTTCATTTCCTCAAATCCCCACCTTATATTTCTTAACCAGGTTCTTCATTCATAACCAAATTCTCCCACCTTCAGGCTCATTTTTATTGCCCTCCCTGTGTGTTAGTGTCCCACTAACAGGAGTTCCCAGTTGGAAGCACTGTTGGAATGCAGTTGCACCACGGCCTTATGAAAAGGGACGACCACCACCTCCCTACCTTGAGATGTGGTGCTTCCAGATATGCAGCCCCAAATTATCTTGCTCTTTTATCATCTACCACACTGCACTGTAAGCATCCTTAATTCAGTGTTACAGTCAGAACTCTCCTTCCTGCTGCTCTTTAACCCATTCAAAACTGTCTCACCTTGTCTGGCTCTCAGACACACCCCACCACTGTCACACGATTCTGGTAAGTTTATGGCAATACTGTAGAAGATAATAAAAAATTATACAACAGCACTTCAGGCTTGCTATTATAGAGAAATCTGTGCTTGCTTTCATAGCAGTATATTAAAGATACATTAAACCTGGTCCATTTGACTTCTATATTTGTGAATTTAGTCAAATCAGCCTTTTAGACACCTTTTAGGGAGCTGACAACATCCCTGTAACAGCACACATGACATAAAGCATATCCTTTTAAAGACTGCTCTTTTTAATTTCACAGTATTATTACAACACACAGAACCACAAAGGGAGAACCAGGATTAATGAAATTATGGTAGCACTGTAGAAAAAAAATACCTTGATATGCATTCAGATAGCAAATTACCTGATTAGCTCCAGCTGACACTATGTGCTAACTGTTGAAGTAAGCAAGAGCTGTATATAATGTACATATAGAGCTATAAATGACTCGTTGCTTTTCCATGTGGCAAACCAGTGTTGTTTTCAGACACATGCAAAGGGGGGGGGGGAGATGGAAATACAGGTGTTCCTAGTAAGTATATAGTTATGTTTCATGCAACAAAGGGTGACTCTGTTGTTTCACACAATTCTAGTCCATGTTCCTGTACTGCCATTCTCATGGAATTACATTGTATTATTTAATTTCTAGTTATATATCTCCATGAGATATGTACCAGGTACCTTGTTTCATATTGAAAAGTTCAAAATTTATCCTTAAAACTTCCAGTTGTGTGTGTATCCTATGGTTATCTGTATGCATTTTTTTCTATTGCTCTAATAAAATATTTATTACATTGAGGGATAGTAGAATATTTCAAAGTATTATTGCTTGTTCCTATTATATATTTGCACATTTGGGGGGTTTAATGCATCTAAAAATGGTTGTGCTTGAGCTGCTGAGCTCCATCTCTGCCCACAGGTTTACAGCAGAGTGGACAAAAAGCCACTTCCCTTTCCCTGGCTTCATTTCCCATCTATCCAATTAGGCTGTTTCCTCTCCTCTGAAATGGAAAAAAAAACCCCAATGTAATTACATTGAAGAAGAGTTAGTTCTTTATAGTAATTTATTCAGTGTATCACTATTTAGCATTAAGCTGCACATCCTGTTTTCCACTGCATTTTCCTGTTCCCTACACAGCTGCATTTTCTTGTAAAGCCCAGACTTTTCAGCAAAAAAACCTTCTCCCTGGTACCACATATTAAGCTTTTAAAGCGTGGATTCCACCTGCAAACAGGGAGCTGATCCAGGTACTGCCATAAGAGTTAATAATGATGCCAACACAAGTGTATTGAATTAATGGGGTTTTCCCTTTCAGGTGGTTGTAGGTGGACACACATGCCTTGCTCTGCTTCCCCCAGTGTCCATATAAGTCTTCTTTAAATTGATCTCTGTTTCTTCTATCATCTTAATTTAGTTAATGGTTATTTGCATTAATAAAACTGACTTGATTCTCCAGTGAGCTGGAACAAAATAAGTTGTCATTGGGAAAGTACAGGAGGAAAAGGTAAAGAGGCAGTAAGGGAAAAGGAAAGGGATAAGCCTACCTCCAGCAAGCATTTCCAGAGCAGCTCCTGTGACTGTCCAAAAGTAGCAATTCAGTCCTGGGGTGAAAAAAAAAAAAAAAAGAAAGAAAACTAATCAATAATAATGAAAAATATGAATAACATTGCTTATACAACAGGAACTGTTGGGGCAGGTAGTTCTGCCATTCCACTCTGAGTTGTACTTCCACCAAAACCAACAGCACTTTGGCACAACTATTATTTGAAATCTAGTAAGAAAGAAGGATAGATTTCAGTCACAGTCCTTAGTAAAGCACTACTGTAAATTGCATTGTTTTCAATTCCCTATCCAAAAGCAGAGTTGTATTCTAAAGCCTGAATTTCTCAGAGGTAGCTGGAATAAGAATTTTTAAAAAACAAAAAAAACACTACTTTTTCTTTGGACAGCTTACTGTTGGATATGTTACAAATATGCAGGATCCTCTATGAATACAAAATGAGTTAAAAACTAATATCACTTCAGCCCAAAGAAATATTGGAGATCTCCATTTTCAACTTAATTTGCCTTTCAGTGGTGGAATGCAGACGTGGGCAGTGCCTGTCAGGTTGTATATGTTATGTCTTAATAACAGGCAATAAAGCAAGCTGTCCTGCATGAGGGAGTGCATTAATCTGACAGCTCTCTGTCTGAAATAAATAACAGTGGAATATTGTGAAAATAAAACGAGTTTGTAAACAGGCACTAGCTCTTTTAGGGAAAACAGCCACCTGGATTGTTTTATATGCTAATGCTTTGAACTCCTGAAAAGCAATAAAAAGGGATATGTTTAGCAGGGATAGAACTGAGTGTGCATTGCTCTGGTTTTTAGCGAGGCTGCTTGATGAAAAGAGGCCCTTTAAATGTGGGGCTTGCACAGTGGGAGCCGCCAGGGGGTGGGGGACGTGGGACATCCCTCACTGCAGCTCTGGAGATCAGTCTGCCCTCTTGGAAAAGGGATCTCCACAGCTCCCAGCTGCCTCCCTGGCGTGGTCACAGCTTGGGTCTCCCTGGGAAGCAGGAGGTACAGCCTGGAGAGAGGACGAGAATTCCTCTTTTTCCAAGCTACTCCAGCAGCCTCAGCAAAGCTCTGCTTCTCAGAGGTGCTGGTAAATGTCTCACCCTTGGCTTGGAAGTGTTTCCCAAGGTCAGCTGAGGGTGTGGGCACCTCGTTGACATCCTCTGTGCTGCCTCTCATGAGGTGCATCACCGAGTTCTCCTTCCCAAAATTTCTGATATTTTGACAGACACTCACCTTTCCTTTCATGGATCCTCTTCATCACCTGAACTGCCACACTGCAGTGTCTGCACTGGCCCTTGTAATTCATCCCCTGCTCTTTGCTTGCTTTGGGTTTAAACTCTCTGGTTTGAGACTTCACACTTCGTGCATGAGAGTGTTTCAGTATTAGAATTTTGCAGGACCTTCATGTGCATCCTTCCTTTGCTTTTTCCATCCTTAAGGGTCAGGAAAACTTCATAAACTCACTTGGAATTAAATTTCCTTTCTTGAGCTCCCTGCTGATCTTTTTGAGGTCAGGAAGTATCTTTTAAAGTCTTTTTTTTTCCCCTTTCAAATGCACAAATACAGGAGACGTGCCAGTAACCCCATGCAGCATTTCTAAGACACTTTCTTCCTAATGTACCCAAGATTATTTTCTTACCCTTTAAGGGCATAATTAGTGCTGTGAGGTCTGGGCCATGCCTGCTCTCTGTGCTGTGCTCTTCATTCCAGCTCAGCCATTAATTCTCTTTGGGTGGGGGAACATCAGGGCATTGGCAAATGCTGAAAAGGAAGGAAGGATCAAAAGCATCCTGTTAGGAGCCATGGGAAAGGGTGCAGCTTCAAGATGCTCATTAATTCAGCCCGTGATAATTTAAACTCAAAGCAACTCCTGGGACAGCGGGACATCCAAAATTACCCGTCAGGAAAGAGAAACTTTGGAGCGTCCCGGTCCTTGCTGCCCTCAGCCTCCCAAATCCCACACTCCCTGGGATGCAGAATGAGAGGAGGGACATGGAATTGCTTCCCCTCTCCATTCCCAGCCGAGGGTGCAGGATTGGAGTCCCCCAGCAGCACACAGGGAGGGTTTGCCTGCCCTTGCAGAAGAACAGACTGAATTTTTTGTCACCTCTAGGAGAGGTGCTGCAAATGTTCCCCTGAGATGGGAGCACCTGAATGCACTCCCTGTGCCCATTCCTTCCAAAGAGGGGATTTTGACAGGCAGGAAAGGTGTCCATTGGGGTTGCTCTCCCTGGTGATTCCATTTTAGGGGATCATTCTGTTTTATGCTGGAACACAAGCTAAAGACATGAAAAGAAACAAGTCAGAGAAAACAAGGGAAAGTCCAGCCTTTCGTGCCCCTTATGATCCAAATAATAAATCTTTTTCCCAGCTGAGGGCCTGTAAAGCAGTTGATGAGAAAAGGACATGTGTTTAACAAGAATTTCCCTCATTAGCAATCCAAGGAGGGCCATGCTTAAGGCAGACAAATAATTTAATTTTGTCACACTTCCTAACATTGCCACCAAACTGAGGCATTTACAGTCACACTTGTCACAACACTAATTATCTATTTGAACAGCAGAGCTCCACTGATTGAATGAGTTCTGCAGTGAGATCATTTCATCAGCAGCATCTGATTGTCATGACGTTTTGGATATAGACTATAATGACAGGAAATATGGCTTTGGTACCTTTACAGCAGCTTCAGATGAGACAGAGGGGAACTTCAGCAGCCAAAAGCTTCTGCTCATGGACTGGAAAACAATGTCCTGGGGGCTTGTGTTGCCTTGGAAACATGAAAAATAAAGCACCATTAATTACCTATTTTCAAGCAACCAGTGTATCCAGTGCCGAGGGCCTGATCCAAGGCTAATGAAACCCTCACCCCAATTTCAGCCACTTGGACTGATCAATCAGCTCTTCTGAGCAAAGGGAGGACCGAGGCAGAACAAAGCTCTGCCAAGTTTTACTTCTGGCTGAGATTCCAGAAGGCTCCAGGCAGACACTCCAAGTGCAGTGGCTCCTCTTCCCTTCACACCCATGACTTTGAAAACATCTTCAGCTGTTTGTTTGTTTTTTTTAAATACATGCCCTCTTGTTTTGAAGAGGTACTAACAGCTGAACTAATAAACATCAGGCAAACACACATACAAGACCTGTGTATAAATCCCACATACATATATTTTCTCCAGATTGGAAACCAAGCTAGTCCTGGGCACTGGCACAGAACCATGAGTTCAGTCAGACCTTCTGCTGTCATTCTTTCTACCCAAAAGACTGCCAAAATAGTCTCTACTATTATATCTTCTGTACAGTCACTTTTAAGTGTAATTAAATATTTTTAACTACAGAGCGTTTGCTGCTTTTCCTCCCATTAGTCACTGGTGCTTTGGTCCTGATTTTATAATTGGGAAATATAACTCTGTACAATAACTCCATGAAATAACTCTAATAATAAATAACTCTCTGGAATTGGTGAAAGTAGAATCAACTTCTTCTTTATGGGAGTTTGAAGTTATCCTAAAATTTTCTTTTTGGAAGACTGTTCACCCCTGCTGCCAGCACAGTCCAAAGCAATCAGCCAAAACTCCTAAAGTATGGAAGGACAAAAATAATTCCAGTAATTTGGAGATCCTGCCCACAGCACAAGTTTGGGGCACAGCAACCTCCCAGGCTGCTGGAAAAGAACCCCTTTCATCTTGTAATACAATGTAAATGCTATTTTTACACCGGTCCCAGATATTTTAAGCAAAAATTTGCTTAAAAAAGACTGAAAGACAATCTCTTCCTTTCATTTGCTTCCATTTCTAAATGAGCTGTAATTTTGAGTTTTCTTTTCTCTCTCCAGTTTTCCTCAGGAAAAATGCCAGTGGCAATCTCCACCAATCTCTTGACTCTTTCTGGAGGTTAAACTGACTACAAGAAAACTGGATCAAAGGGAAAGAAAAACTTTGTTCTAGAAGCACAAAAATATTTACATAATAACAAGATAAGCCAGAACTCCTCATTTCTACCATGTGGACACGCTTGTAAAAAGGATGTAAAAAAATTAGGCCATTTTTAGTTTAACTGGGGAGGTGAGGAGAGGAGGGATTTAATAGCTCATGTAAGAGAAGAAGAGACAAGGCTGGAAATCAGTTTGTAATGCAGCTAATTGAACAGATCCAGAGTTTTCAGGGTTTCCTGCCTGGAGGAGAAGAGTCTCTCAGAGCTATTTTGATGCACGAGAGGAAAAGAGAATAAAGTTTCCCACCACAGAAAATCGAGTGGGAAACAACAGCCAGAAACAACTGGATTGGAGCTCCTGGAAAACACGATAAGAGCTTTGTTTCAACCTCTTCTGAGCTGCTCTCTGAGCTCCTCAGCTGTGACCACAAATTTTGGCAGCAGAGTAAAAACAGGACTGATAAGAGATAATACAAGTGGGATTGGGGTTGGTCACTGCAGAGCAATAAAAAATTAGAGACATTTTTTCACAGGACGTTGCTCAAGAATTGGCCTCTCTTGGGGCAGCTCCAGTAAACTCAGAAAAAATTGGAAGTTCAATACACTTGTCGATATTTATTCTAATGAGTTCATCATCTCCCCTCACTGATGTGCTGGAACCAAACCATAAATGTTTCCATATCAAACACCCACTTGTTCCTGCCCTGGGAAGAGCAGAGACATCCATTCTGCACTTAATTAGCTGTCCTTTAGGAAGAAATGAGAAAGGCCATGCTTTAAATTAGACCCATCTGGTAAAGGCCTTCTTGAAAAGATGAGGCTTATGTGATGTTTTGGAGCTGTCAGAGGCAGAGGCCATCTGTCCTGACTAACTGCTGCCAGTCATCAGGATTCTGCTCTATAATGATTGTTTATATGAAAAAGGTGACTGAGGGGTCAGAGTGCTGAAATCTGAACAGGAACATCGTGGTGGAGTCTAATAAAAGCCCAGGTAAGGAGATGGGGAGTGAGGCTTTGCTTCCCAGCACCTCCCTTTCCTCCAAGGACATCACAGGGCTCTTGAGTTCAAGAAAGAACCAAGATGCTGCTGCTTGTGGCCACTTTTCTATTTAACTATAGTTTATGGTAGAAAATGTGGGTCAGATTCAGGTCCCTCCCCAAGGGGTTTTAACCCAATATCTCTTGATTTTCATGAAGCCTCATGGATTAGAATCCTCCCTTACACCTACACCTGAACACCCAGCTGTATATTTGGGATGAAAGCTCAGCTTTTAGAGATGAAGAAACCACGATTTCTAGTCCCAGATAACTCACTAAGTGGGACCCATTACGACCAGCCCATGGCATGGTCACAAGCCACAGCTCCAAGACTGAATTGCTGCAAATCAGGCTTGGATCTCATTTTTTACCCCCATTCTCTGGGGTTTCAATTCATTTCCAACACTCCACGTGCTCTGTTCTTTGGTCCCAGCCCAGCTGAGGTGCAGGCACACAGGTCCTGCTGTTCCCAAAGCAGCTCCTGCCTCGCTGCTCTTATCAGGGCAGCACAGGGCTGGGACCAGCTCCTAAAGAGAGGAATTGCTTACATAATTCATGATGACTCTTGTTGCCAAAATAGCCAGACAAGCTTAAAAATATAAGCAGACACTATGAGGGACAATATGCTTAAAATGTTGAATTTATGGTAGTGGCATAGAATGGGAAATACTTGAAATTAGAACAAAACTGTAAGGTATTAGAGAAATGCCACACATTTGCTGCATTTCAGCCATCAATAATGTATCGTGCTTTGCTTTAAAGGCAGAAGAGGATGATGGTGCCCAGGTGGTTCAAGGAAGATATCTGAAGTGCCAAATAAACATATTATTTGTTGGCGAGTTCCCCTTGTACCCTCCAGGGCAGGGACCTGCCCAACAGCTGCTGTATATGGGCTTTATAGGCATTCTTTATGAGTGATAAAAGAAGTGTTTGGACACAGAATCATGGAATCATTTGGTTTGGAAAAGACTTTCAAGGTCTTTGAGTCCAACCATTACCTCAGGAGTGCCAAAGCCACCATTAAACCATGTTTCCCAAGTGCCACATGTATATATCTTTTAAATCCCCCCAGGGATGGTGACCCCTGGGCAGCCTGTTTCAAGGTTTGACAACCCTCTCAAGGTTTGACAACCCTTCCTGGCACAACTTGAGGCCATTTCCCCTTGTTACCTGGAACAAGAGACATCCATTTCTCTATCTGTGCAGAACACTGAAGTTTTGTGAGCACAGTAACTTGAACACAGAGAAAATGGGTGCAGAGGTAAACACACCAAAGGGCACTGGAGCATCCCTGCTCACAGGGGGAAAATATTTGCTAGGACAGAACTCCTGCCTCCCAACTTCAGAACCTACTCACTTAAACAGATGAGGACAAATATATAAAATACATCCCCTGAGGCAGCGAGGGGCTGCTCTATCCACGCCAGCAGCAGAGAAGATGCTGGTTGCCAGGTTGCAGATGGACACCACACATTTTAGAAATTAAACTATAAGTGGTTGGTTGTGTGGTGTTTTTTTTTTTTTACCACATCAGTCGGATTTCTGTCTGTGGGAAACTTTTCCTCAGAGAGGCTCTTTTCACAGACACAGCAGGGATGGAGGTAACAGCATGAAATGAGAGAGTTTGAAAAGCAGCGGCGTGCTGCAGGAAGCCCAGCATTTGCATGTTAAGCTACATCTATTCCCTGAACGCTCAAGACACATGAAAGCAACCTCAGATTTTTGGTTAGCAGCAGATCTATTCGCTGCAGCCTGAATTTAAAGGTCAGGGATGTTTAGAGGGGTTTTTTGTTGGTTTTTTTTTTTTCTTTTTGCACTTAGCTGGAGCAGTGTTACACGGCTCCCCTTGGGAAGAGCAGTGGGAACAGCAGCAGCTCTGCTGTGCCAGGACACCGGGTCACAGTCCTGTTTGTACCAAACAGTGTCTTGACACCAGCCCCCATTCCCAGTGCCAGTGGCCCTGGTTCACTGGGATGTTGTAGAAGAGACACTTCTCTGATGCCCGTGACCTTAACAAGAGCTTTTTAGTGCTTGTCAGGGCTATGACAGCTGAATCTTTTTAGGCATGTAAGTGAAAAGCAGCTGAACAAGACCCACTGTCTTTTCAGAAAACACAGCCCTGAGGGAAGTTCGAGACATTCAAACTCAATTTTAACCTTTCTCATCTTCAGAAATCAAGCTTATTTGTGACCAGGCTGAAGGTTTCCTACCTGACAAGGCACTTCTGTGCCCTTTGGCTTCATGCTATGTGGCTGGAGGGGCTGGCAGGGCTAACACCCATCATCTCCCTCCCACCAGCACCACCTCACTGGCACCACCAGGGCTGTGGGCACGGATGCTCAGTGGTGCCTTTGCTCCTCCTCCTCCTCCCATGGCACCCTGATGGACAGTTGAGCATTGCAAGGTTGTCATGCACACCACTGAGCTCCCCAGGATGCTGTTTCCTCCTTCCCTTCAGCATTCAGGAGCAGGTGAAGCAGGAGATAAAGAATAAAATGATGACCCTTGTCATTGCCTTCAAACGAGCAGCACTGATGTGGCTGCATATCTGAATATTCAGGAGAGGGGCAGACCTACACGCTGGATTTACTGAGATAAATGTTGGTCTCAGCTGTTGAATTCCTGGTGCTGATGAAGGCTGCGGAATAATTGCATGTGTGCAGAGTGGATAAGAGGTGAGGGCTTGCTGTTGCCTGCCAAGAGATAAAGGACTCGAACAACTGCTGGTTTGTTTGGGTTTATGATTAGATTGATATGGCTCATGTCTTACTATACTCATGATATGGGTGAGCAGTTAAACAGAAATAGAAGCCCAGATCCTTGGACTGACCTGAAATACACTGGGGAGCTGGTAGGAAGGACTCCTGGAGAGACTGATCCAACCCCAGAAAGCAATAACCCTCCAGAGGGTTATTTCAGTCCTTCTGGACTGGACTGCTGGCGAGATGGCACATGGTCCCATCCCCTCTGAAGGTGCAGCACAATTTCTGAAGCCACAAGGGAGAAAGAGATGGGGACAGATTTGTCTCACATCCCCCCAAACAGAGACACACCCCCCAACACTGGAAGCAGAGGCAAACCCCCCCCAGACTTCCCAGCACAACTGCACGTAGTGGGATTTAAAAAGACCTGTTTCCAGACACCTGCCTTCCCCTCGTAGTACTGGCATGGTTTCTCACATAACTGAAGGAAAGCTCCTAACTTCAGAAGCATAGCATTCTAAAGACAAGTGTGTCTCACTCAGAAATCCTCCAGGTACTTGTTCAGCACTTCAGTGACGGGCGAGCTCAGGTCTGACAGCAGCAGCTCTCAGGGGTGTCACCAGCGTCACACGGGGCACTGGGGACATTCAGTGGCGTCACTGAACCACCAGACTTGCTTAGCAAGGCAGAACATCCACCTGGGGCTTTGGCAGGCTCAGGTTTTGGCCTCCCAGCTCCCTTGCACGAATGCACTTGTGCTTTGCTCTGCTGCCTCCACAAGCACTGACGGTGCTGAGGCCCCTGGTGTGCTGAGAGACCACTCATTCTGGTGATGAACGTCACAAAATTGCCTGGGGCTTTGGTTTGGTTTTTTAAACACTTGCTGTATATCTAGATAAACCCCTTGTCTTATGCTGGAGTAAATTTTCTGTTATCTCTGCCTGTAAACCTCCTACTCAAAGGCAGCATCTCCCATTACTGCAGTGCCTGGGGCATCTGTTCAGGACAACACTGGGCACTGTGAAGTCTCAGGGTTTGGCTCTACCAGCCAAGAGCTCCAGCCTCAAAGGACCTTGAGAGATTCCACGTGTCTCCCTCCAAGTTACACATCTACCATATAGCACAGCACCACGGGCTGGATCAAACTGTGCTGAGGTCTGATCCAAAACAGACAAATCCACACCTGCTTCTGGCATCTGATGCTACTTTTTACCCCTCTACATTCACTTCTTACCTCTCACCTGATCCTCAGCCAGGTGATAAATCTGTTCCTATTCTGGAATTCAAATGCTACCTCCCCAGAACTCTTCTCCTTTTCAATACTGTCCTCTCTGTGTGGGTTGCAATATATGATCTTACATGTGGGATGAAATCAGCTGTAGCTGTCAGTGACCACCTGAATCAGGGTTTTATGCAAGTAGTACCAAATATTTCAAAACAGAGAAAAAATTCTGATATACCCATAAATGAAAATATTGCCTCTTACTTTTAAATGCATTATTTCATGAGAAATGTTTTCCTACTGCATTTAAACATGTGACTCTCTCAGGATTTAGTGCACCCATTGAAAATTTTCATCATCAAAATAAGAAAAATCAGACCAGCTCTGAATCAGAGTTGCTCACCTTTAGAATTCTCATTTGAGCTCTGCTCAGGCTCTCAGGCACAAACAGCTCCATGTCCTTCGACACACGAATGGTGCAGTCTGGAAAAGTTTCCTTTGGAAAAAGCTGTGAGAAAAAAAAGAAGCTGAATCATCACAGAGACTCAGTATGGGGGAATACTGAGGAATCGCTGTCAGTCTCATTAGTGTGGGCAACACAATCATGTTTAGAGGCTAAAAAATATGTAGCCAATATTTGCATCTTATAAAACACAGGTGAATTTTGTACAACCTAGGACCAGTTGGGCTGCAGTGGAAGTTGGGAGACATGGCTGAGGTAGGAACTCAGCCTGCTTGGTATGTGATTTTGGGCATGTTTGCAATTCATGTTTAGAATTCAATTATTTACATAGTTGGCAGAAATGTAAAAGCAAATAAGATATAGAGTGGGAATATCTGTGGTTTCTTATGACAGTAAAAGAAGACAACTTCAAAACAGCTTTAAAAATGAAGGCCAACATTATTTCTAGATTTACAGCTTTTAATGGTCTCAAAAACACACACTCCAAACTAAAGCAACGATAAGCTAATGTTGGAGATGCAATACACAATATTCTGGATTAATGTACATGCAAGATGACAGCCTAAACTGGGAATTCTTGTTCTGAAACCATATTGCCTTTATATGGTCACAAGGAAGTTAGAAAATAACATATATGAGTCCTTTCCCTATACCTACCATGGGCAATAGAAATCCCAGCCCACAAAAAGGGCACTGCAGTGACCATCCATATATGTCTTAAACATATATGAAGCTGGGTGAACAAAAGACAAAACTGGAGGGTGCTGAGTTCTCTGTTTCATATCTCAGTCTTAACTCTGTCTTCCCATCACGCCTGCCCTGGTAAAGAGAGGAAAATGGGGCTGAAAATTACCAAGCAGGTGTTTCAAAGACATCCGTAAGCAGTTCTGCTATAGTCTAATTAGTGCTCTAATACATATCATAGTGCAGACTCATCATTATTTCCTCTTCATTAGCTGCTGAAATATAATGTATCTTAAAAAAAAAAAAAAAAAAAAAAAAAAAGAAAAAAAGAAGTCAAGCCCATTTTCCTTTTTTTTTAATTTAAAAAAAACCCCAAGAGCTTGTTTCTCCCATTACCATAACAAAGACAACAGGAATATGATTAATGCATGCCATCTAAACTATGTGCACTGTGCATTAAATACCAATGCACCATCCCAGCCTAAAGTGAGCTCCAAAATTATAAAACACACACTTGTCAATATTAACACTTGCACCAAAGGAAATGTTTAGAAAGAGAACAACAGGAGAATAAATCTTTTCTTCTGGTTGTCTTCGTGTAAATGCTGAACCCTACTCCTGTTCTTTGGAAAGAGAGAGACCCCAAGTCCACCAGAATCACCCAGATTATTTAAGGCATGGTCTGACCTGGTGGGGAGAGAGCTCCAGGAGATATGTATTTGTAGTCACTCCTGTGAGAGCAATTGGTGTCAGCTCTACACAGCTTTCAATTAGTTTTGGCTGGTGGTGGCCCTCTCTCTGCCCGAGCACACACCTTCAGGATGGAGAGATTGCTAAAACACTGCCATTCCTCTCAGCTCCTCGGATGGACTCTGCAAGTGCTGCTCCCAGGATCCCAGCCAGCTCCTGCTCAGCTGATCCATGTCCAAACCACAGCCCCAGCAACACAGAAACACCTCGAGAGCTTGGTCTGCCCGATGCTGACACGTGTCCTTAGGAACAGCTCTGTCCATTGGACACACCTGACACAGTCCCTGCTGGGATAAGCTGTGCCAGGGACAAGGCTGTCTTCAAGCCTGAGCCTGTGGGCCAAGATTTCCTTGGTGGTGGTGCAATGTCTTTGGTTGTTCAAGTCAAACAACTGGGGCACAGCCTCCCTTCTCTGCTGGCAGCACATTCCCCAGAGAGGCCTTACAATAATTTGGGAGATTGGGTGACAGACCAAGGACCCAGCTCCTTTCCCCCATGCTTACACACACTGAACACCCATAAAAGAGCATCAAGAGTCACCACAGCATCCCTGAGATAAAACATTCCCTTTTCCACCTCAAAATTCAATTCTCCATCAAATGTTGAAAATTAAGATGAACTCACCAGAGGGAAGAGCAGCTGAGGAAGGAACATTTTTATGCCTGCTTGGCCTCTGACAGCAGCCCTTTAATTACAGCACATGGCAAGTCTTCAGCAACTCCCTCATCATGATCCCCCAAACTCAAGTTAAAGCCTCTCTACAGCTCCACCTTCTCCGACAGCAATGACAGCTGCTTCACAAACTGATCCCTGATGAAACATCTATAATGAACCTTTACTGCAACAACAAATTTTACTCTTCCTCTAGAAAGCTACAGAAATTTGGCCAAGTTTTAGCAGAATTCGAGCTTCGGGGAGAAAGGAAACCCCGAAGTGGATGCCAGAGCCACACTTCACTGCCACTTCACAGAGCATTGTGTTCCAAAAGCACCCCACAAATACAAACCAACAATCACAGCAAGTCATGCTGTGGGGAGGTAAAACTTAATGTGCCCTCACCTTAAAGACAGGGAAGCAGCAGCAGATAGGTTAAACAATTTAGCACAAGTTGTTCAATAATTGAGTCAGAGAGCCTGGCTTGGAATCCAGAGATCTTGTCTCCTGCTCTCATCTTGATTTAACATCACCTTAATTATTTTGTTCTGTTGTTACAAAGAGCTGAGCATAGGAAATAGTCTAAATCCTTGTGCAATGCTGAAAAGAGCTTGATGGGATTTTGTTTCTTTTGCTGAGAATACCCAGGACAAGGAGCAAAAGGTTGAAAGTAGATGGGCCACCGAGTGCTCCTGGTTTGCTTTTACAGGTTGTTTTTCCTTATTTTTATTATTAATCAAGAACACTCTGAAGTTTCCTAAGGAAAAGGGTAATGGTGTCAAGAAAATTTAACATGTGTTTGAGATGAATTCAATGCAGGTCTATTACCTTCAGGTCAGCTTGTTTTTCACTTTCAAAGACAAGTTTACATCTCAGATTAAAGAAACTATTGAACCACATACAAGGGGAGCTCTGTGCTGTACCTCGAGCCATATTAAAGCAGCTGAGAAGCACAGGAGTTTGATAATGTCTTAATGCACCACGGACATGGAATTTGATTCCATATATTGATCACTCCATACACAATTAGTGGAGTAAGTGCAAGTTTACAACTGGTGCAGCTCCTTACTCTTGTTTTTGTAGTGAATAAAACTGACTGAAGCTTAAGTGTGGGGAAGCAATCATGTTCCCTGACCTCAGAGGTGACATCCAGCTGCAGTAATGAAGCACAAAGGCTTTTAAAAATCATGCACAAGAGCAGTCCATTGTACTTATGCTGACTGGTCTCTCACCTATGATTTAAAATAGATGCTTCAAGAAACGTGATTTTAATTTTTTTTTAATTGAGGTTAACCTCCAGCTTGAAAAAAATCAGAGGAAGAGGGGCTATACTTGCTTAATTTCAGCTCCAGATACTTCTATATTTGACAAGTAAAAATTGCAAAAAAAGTTTAAAATGTTTAAAGGCAATAATAAAGTTTTTCTTCCTGTTTTTTCAGCTGAAAGGTTGCAGATATTTATATTGTATTCTAATTGCTGATTACTCAACAGACAGAGGTAAATGTCTTCCACCCCTGAGACTTTTGAAGGCGTTATTTTGACACATCCACACAGACCAACACCCACTCAGCACCTCAGGATGTGACTGTAAAATCAATTAATTCAACAGCTATTTCTGCAGCCTGAAGTGTAATTACCCATGAAATGTTGACGGTTTTCAGGATAGCAGAAATTCATCATTTATGCTTAACCTGGGCCATTCTTCCCTCCCTCCATCTGAGGAGCAGTGCTCGGATGTGCAGACAGAAGTGGTGGATGCAGGTGAGCTGGTTCTCACTTACTCTGGACCTGTTCAAACATTGTTTTACCCCTTAGGAAGTTGTGGTGGAACATGGACATGTCTTCCAAACCCAGACTGAACTGATAACCACATCCATACCAGCAAAGATGCTTCTTCCCTAAGTAATGCCTTCTCTTTTCCCACCTTCCACCTTTCCTCTGCTTCTCATCCCACTGCTGGAGGCTGTGCCTGTAGATGAGGAGCTTTTTGAGCAGTTTCTGTGGAGATCTGCAGGAAGCCATCTCCTGCCTCGATGAACACATGCTTGCACAGCATCAGCTCCACGACAGCAACTCACCACCTGCCAGACTTCAAGGACAAGCGATGGGGTGGGGGTTTCAAAAGCCTCCTGCACCCCCTGCACAGAGCTACAGCAAGAAGTTTGCTCCAGTTATAGATGCTGAATATTAACAACAACTCTAAACACAATAATTAGTTCATTTATCTCCAACTTACATAGCCTTTGTGTAAAGGAGTACTTTACAGTTGAATAATTTTAATTTTTTTAGCTCTATGTAAAACAGGCATCATCAGTATAATCCTTAGAATCTAATAATGATTCCATCAGTGTAAAATCATTATCCTTAGGCAAGAAGGAAACCAATTCAATTATGATGTTGGTTGAAAAATCGAGGGTGAAAAGTTGTAGTACATATTAAACTTGAGGCTGGAAAAGTTGTAGTACATATTAAAATGGTTACTACAAAATTTGTGCATCCAGGCTAACAAATGCTAATATGTTCTTTTGTTACCTTCTAATTTATATGATTCATGTAAGCCTGCAGCAAGAGAAACTTGTTTTAAAATTCATCTACATTAAAAAATAGCAATGCAATGAATTGTAAAGTTATTAGCATTCATGTCTGGTTGTGTTATTAAGCTGTACACATCAAATCGGGTAGTACAAGTACAGAAATGTCATAATGAAGTAGAACAGCATTTAATCAGAGGAATTTCTAAAGGTCATCAGAGCATCATATAAATTCATCCATGCATGACAGCAATGTGAAATAAATAACTGAAAGAACACCATAAGAATAAACTTCAATCTTGGAGCTTTGTTTCCAACAGTAGAAGAATTAGCTGAGTTTCATGCTGAGGGAACAGCTAACAAAAAATACTGAATTCTGTAGCTTTAATTAATGAAAGACTAATAAGAGGCAGATAAGGAATTTTACACAAGGGAGCTAACGAGGTGTGTTCACTGATAGCTTCCTACAACAGCTGATCTCATACGTCTCCCTACAACTGAGAAGAAGCGTTCAGCTCCGTTTTTTCTTCCTCATTAGCCAGATGAGCCCTAAATGATTCCCTTTAAATAACCAACGATTTGTTAATATTTTTGCACTCATAAAAACTCTTTTGACTGCTTTAGGACATATATTATAGGCCTGATAGTTGGCAGCTCCAAACACTGGAGCTATTTTACCGTCCCATGTCAGTGCAGTGCCAGCCTGTTTTCCTCGCCTGGCGCTGGGAAGCTCCAGCAGGGTCGGAGCAGATGCCATGGTCACCCAGAGCCAGGCTCTGGTACCTGCAACCATGTTCAGCAGCACCTTGATCTGCACAAAACCTAATTGATTTCACTGGGAACCTTCCCAGAACAAAGTTCAGCTCTCGGTGATGAAAAGTGCCGGGATCTGGCTCGGAAGATGCATTCCCACAGTCCGGGGGGGTGATACATTGCAGCGGCACACAGGGGCGATGAGAGAGGATAAATAACTAATTCATCAAAGACTCTTTCTGAAGCCCTGCATGTATCAGTGGCTTTCACCTAATTAGTTGGCTTGGGGAGAAAACGAAACCCTGTGTTTTCAGCTGGTCTCCAGCCCCGGGCACCACCAGTGCTGGAGGGACACGGCAGGCGA